ATTTCTGGTGTCTCCGTGTAAATATTTCTTTTGTTCATATTTTGCCCTAGTTTTGTGTGGATTATGATTATGTTGACATATTGATATTTTCTTGTTTTTATTTATGTAGTACAATATCTCTACATATAACATCTGATTACTGTTGTTTTAGATTTCTTCCTCTTTACTGTTTTTCTACACAGATACTGATGCTTTAGTGTAGTATTGTTTTTACTGACCATTTTAAAAAAGGACTTCGCATCGTCAATGTATCAAATCATGTGAACTGTTAATACAAGATTATATTTGTTATTATTTGGTGATGAAAAATTTTCTAATAATGAAAATAATAGGTTTGCACTTGGTCGCGATCTTGTTTCTCCTTTCCAAACGGCCGAATTCTGTTTATAAACATAAATATGAATCTCTCTCTCTCTCTCTCTCTCTCTCTCTCTCTCTCTCTCTCTCTCTCTCTCTCTCTCTCTCTCTCTCTCTCTCTCTCTCTTAAGACAATCTCAAAGTTGTTTAACGGAATATTGAATTGAAAAGGTAAGCGATCTTATGCTTCATATATGTATGTATGTATGTATGTATGTGTGTATTTATGTCAATAGGAAAGGGCGTTAACATTGTTCTGGTGACTTGTGCTCAATCCAATAAATTATGTTTAAACTAAACCACTACATTTTCGTGGATTTGTTAAAATCTTGAAGCAAAAAGGATATTTTATCACGAAAAATGAATTTCTTGAGAAAACCAGCTGGAAAAATCCCTTTTCGCTTTAAATTTTCTTTTCACTATAGTACAATACGCTACTGGATTCATTCTTCAAAGACCTAATATCCACCAAATATGGCAATATTTACAGTAATCACAGTCTCTGCTAAATTTCATTGGTTGATTCAACGTGAATGCAAACGGAAAAACTTACCGGAAGCAATCAATTTCATAACCAGACTACACTAGCACTGTCTTCCTTTGTCAAGGTAATTAATAGGCCGAAATATATTCAGGTGTCGCACACAGCAATCTGTACCCACACTGAGGTTTTATAACGACACCGTGTTCCCATGTCAATAAACACAATTAAACACTGTAAAACATCAAATCATAACTGTTTAATCATTTCAACAATCTGCATGATGGATATTTAAATATACTTATAAATTATGAAGCCTTTATTTCCTGGAAACAGTTTCCCCATGTGAGCCTCCTAGCAGCTGTCAACAAACATTGTGACTTGTCGACGTCAGGGCGATGTTTGCTGATTTCATTTGTAACGTATACAATGCTACAGGTCTATAGACCAAAACACTGTTGTCTACCAAAATGCCATGTATTTTAATGTGGAAGTATAACTATGTGATTCTGGAAAACGAAAATGTGTTTGGAAACGTTTTAAAACAAGAAGATCCAAATCTGAATTTTAATGAGGAAAACTGTATTCAAACTGTGTGATTCTGTGTATCAGCTCTGCCTTCCCAGGACTAGTAGGAAGATGCTGTGGCGGACGATCTTAAAGATTTTCAAGTGAGTACATAAACATTTGAACACATACGAATTTTGATGTAGTATGAACTATAAAAATATAATTCTACAAATTTACCAATAGCTAACCATAATAAGAGTTCCAGAAGCGTGTTGTTAGCTGAAATTCAAGTGTCATAAGTTAACAATTAACTGTCAATTTTTCATCAAGTGTAGTCATAACTTAACCGACTTTCTGAGATTATCTCTCCCTACATTTCCATAGCCATTATAGCTTTCATTAATTGACCTGAATAAAATTATCGTTAACCAGCTGACTGTAAACACAATTTCATTAATAAAAATTATGGGAAAGTTTTATGGCCGTCATAGTGATCGCATTGCGAAATGATTATATTTCATTGCACGATATGAAGCTGGACGTGCTTGATGCTGGTTAGTTTACATGTTGATTCCATTGTTGTATACCTTGTTTTCATATTAGAACGTGACATTACTTACCTGAATTGAGCACGATTTACATATCGTCGATATAGCAGAACTCGCCTACTCTTCTGGAACACTTGGTCTTATTACCCCTTTCCAGGAGTCTCAACTTAAATCTATCTTTCGTTCTTTTCTGTTTTCTTTTTAAATTTGAGATTGGATTAAGATACTGTTTATATTTTTTAGTGATGTAAGGGACTTTTTTATTGATGATATGTCTGTTTACTAAATTATCTTTTTCATGTGTTCAATTTTTCATTTTGGCTATTCTGCCTCTCATTCTTGTTTTGAAACGTGTAATCACTATGTGGTTTTATACTATGTATATTCCCTGATCTATAAAAGGAGAACACGATAAATAACAACCAAACCAACAGGTATACTAGCGAGCATCAATCACGTCCAACGTCATATCGCACAAATGGATAATTATAGCGACCGTTGAACTTCAACGAGTTTTTTTATCTCTCTAAATCATTCGTTGTCAGTTATCGAAATCCTGCAAGAAAACTGTAATATTGAGAACAATCACAACAATTATCCATATTTTTATTCTTTCCGTTTTTTATATTGTATTTTCGTTGTTCTAAATCTAGGTCATCAAACTAGGTTTTATCTGTGATGGCAGCCCAATATTATCACAAACAAACATCTCAGAGCGTAGATATGTAATAGCCAAGGTGTGATTATTATCATCATTATGGAGTCTCGTCAATTGTCAGGTTATGAGTGATGACCTTAAATGTCACAAGTCTTCTAATTAAGAATACTAAATCCTATTTACATTTAAGGACGTCTCATTTTGTCATCAAAACTTAACTCAGTAGAATGTATGAAATATACATATATGTTAATATCAATATACAAAAAATTAGTAATATAAAATTCATTTAACTTAACCAGTTTGAAAATTTCAATATACTTCCGAACTTGCAGGAGATGCTCCATAGGTTGTACAAAAGACATCATGAATCACACATTCCAATACAACTTTAAGATTAGGTACAGTAGCACCAAACAATGAATAAACATACAAATTGCAGCTATCCTTTCCTTCTGATGTCCGGCTAATGAATCAAACTGCATGATCAAGCCGTATCCCATAATATCAATGTATGCTGGCAAAATTAGTAATATCCGTAAAATCACGTAGATAGTAATTATTTTAATTTTACGTACTTTGAATTTGGAGTTGGGATCGTTTCACTTATTTTATCTTGAACAAATTCGAACTGTGGAATGCTATTTTAATAATAATATTAAGTAAATTTCTATTGCTTGTGCAGCCTTTTACAGGAAATTAAACATTTTGTCTGTTCGACATGTAATGTCATTGTGTAATCATATTCACTAGCGTCACCTTTTAATGTACGTGTAATAATACCGAAAATGTTTACTTGCATTTTCTAAATTATACGAGTTCGTTGCAACAAAAATACTGTAGAATCATTAATTTACGTGGGGACCTATTTTCATTGATTTCGCGAGTACTCATAATAACTGACAATCCAGGAAATTATGTTTCCACGGCCTGTTCAATTAAGTATGAAAATGACTTATAGAGCCATATTTAGCAACGATATCAATTTGTTCACGAAATAGAAATTTAAAAAAAAAAATTTGAGCGGAGACATAGTTGTTCGTACAGACCAAGTATAGAAAGAAAATTATACATGCTTGCACTGATTGCATACCAAAATTACTCGGTTCTATTTTTATATAATATTTCCATTTTCGTTAGGGTAAGTGCGCCTCTACATGTTTTGCATTTCTTTCGATCACTTCGGATTTTACTCATTTGTCTTCTAAGTTGTAAAATTTAGAATTTTAGCACCACTGACGAATTTTTGAAGGGCGAAACAGCTGTATGATTCAGTTTAATCCATTATTTGGTACTACTATATCTAAATCAAAATTTGTATTAAAAGTATTATTATTTTGTACAACCTGTTGGAGACAAGATTTTCCTCAGCTAATATCTCCTTGAAAATATCTTGTATGAAAATTCCTCAAGGAATTTCAGGACATCCTAGCCGATGTTCCTTGAGAAAATTTTATACAAGCCGTTTTTGAGGAGATATCAGCTGAGGAAAATCTCGACTTGAGGAAATCTCAAGTTGAGATGTTTCATACAAGTGTGGCCTGGTCTTATTATCTTGTATATATTCGGGGATCTAAGTAAACCCCCCCCCCCTCACACACACACACACACACACACACACACACACACACACACACACACACGCACGCGCACGCACGCACGCACGCACTTCCACCCTTTATACACCACTTAAGTTAGAAAGCTTGAGACGTAAACAAATAGAGGGAATGTAGCACAAGGCACGCGTTGTTTCAGAAGATTTCGTGTCGAGTAATGGCGGTTTACAGTTATATTTATATATGGTTTATATGTCTTGGTCTCGAATGGATTACTACTGTGTCCAATTATATCTATTAGAATCTTTTTTCCTTTTTCCCAATTTACTACCACTTATTTCTACAAATCAAATGTACTTTACTATGTCCATTACAAAGAGTTTGTTATCTTACTGCATATAGAAACTCTCATGTTTTGAACTTGTTTATTACATATTACTGGTAGTATCGTCCTTTGGTGATATATTTTAAGACGTTTGTTTCTATTCCACAGTGGCCGGCGTGGTATTGCAGTATTACTGGGAGTTTGTCTTGCCTTGACCCTGTTATTTATACTTAACAACTATAACATTAGTCTGAGTTCTCGACACGTGATAACATTCCAGGCCAATCTCACACACAGTGACATTAATTTCAACAGACCAAAGGCAGTTAATAAGACGCCTAGTCGTGAGTGCAATTTTACAACACAAAGTGTTACAGTGATAAAGAATTTAAATGAAACTGTTGGAAAACAAACTGTATTAAAAAGAACAGTTAAGCCTCGTCAATCGAATATTTCGTCCTTCAATTCACTAAAATATGTGAAGAATTATCAAAAATTAAATAACAAATTTTATCCTCAGGACCATTATAATCAACAACAATATAAAACTCCGATAGAAAATGCAATGTATAATCAAACTGGTATAGGTAGATTAAAAAAAGAATCAGTTTCAACTCAAAATGTGACTGTCGTGCGCGAACTGCAATCCCAAAACCTGTCGAAAGATTTCGCCACGGAAAGTCCTGACCTACATCCTTCAGAAACGTACAGTAAAGCAAGCAACGATAACGTTATTAGTGTAATTCACCTTCAAAGAGAGGATTCCCCTATATCAGCGAGCAATAATGAGGTAGATCGCAATGATGATATCGTCAACAACGAGAAAGTTAATTACAAGCTAGTAGACAGATTAAAACATATACAGAATGTTGCTATGCAAAACCAAGCAGCTCTTGTACACGACGATTTCATTGTTCACGGCCAATTAGTAAAAAAGGATTTCGACATGGCAGAACAAAAGAGATTTAATGAGGTAAGAAGTAATATTCTACGCAACAAAAAGCCATCAACGGACAGTGTTAGTAATCTACCAGAAAAGATTCATGGCATGCAAAGCACTGGAACATATAAAGTAAAAACATCAGTACAGAGTCAACAGCCTCAATATCCTGCCAGTTCCCAAAATCTTTCCGTCCAATCAAATCTGGAAAAATACAATTCAACATTTGACTGCCAACATCCAAGAGAGGTCGCCAAGGTAGAAAACATTTTGTGTATGGTATGTATTAACTGCAGTATCATAATTTGCTAATTTAAGTCTGTAGCTCTGCTTGTTTTATAATATTTCTAATTTGTATACGTCATAAATAGCACTGTTATTTTTCTTTACCGTAAAACAACACGAACATAAACGACTTATTATACTATTACCCTCTACACATTTTTATTTATGTATTTTTAGAAACTTTAATTTTAAACTAAAATTACTTACTTTTCTCGCGATTTTCTTATTTAGGAAGGAATACGGAAAAAATCTTTCTTCTTCATAGAGGAAATGCATAATGTAAATTGCATCATTCTCAATAATGCTATATTCTTAGGTTTCGATTTTTCCCTAATGCTGTTTTTTCTATATGTTTTTAATTTACGTTTAATTCATGTTCAGTAAAGATTTTAATAAAGACAATTAATTTTTCATTCAATACTGTGAATTCCTATATTTATCGGGTTCTATGTTTATGATTTCTCAAAACATTATTTCGTAGACATTGATTTAATTCTATTCTTTCTTTGTTATAAAGACTGCATGAATTGTACTCGCGATATCGACGAACTTAATAAACCCTCGAAAAATTGATGAAATTTCAGTATATGTCATCATTATGTTGTCTCCTAACTTTGATGAGATGTCTGTTACACTTTCAGGAAAAACCCAAATTCCTTCCCGATTTCAAAAATCCGTGCTGGCGAGACAGTCCGACAACTTTTCTAAGGTGTCTGCCATACTTTCACATATTCGGAACATGCAAGTCTGGGACAACAGACCTATTTCATCGAATGCTTCACCATCCGCAAATTATCCCTAATAAGGGTATATTGTCAAAAGAGACATGGTTCTGGAGCTGGAAACGGTATGGTGAGTAAGGTCCGCCGAAGTGTTGGAACTAGGGACGGTATGGGGAGTAAGGTCATCCGTAATGTTGGAACTGGGGACGGCATGGTGAGTAAGGTCCCCCTTAATGTTTAACCTGGGGACGGTATGGTAAGTAAGGTCTCCCTTAATGTTGAGCATGGGGAGGGTATGGTGAGTAAGGTCCTCCGAGGTGTTGGAACTGGGAAAGGTATGGTAAGTAAGGTCCCCCTTAATGTTGAACCTGGGGAGGGTATGGTGAGTAAGGTCCTCCGAAGTGTTGGAACTGGGGAAGAAGTGTTGAGTAAGGTCATCAGTAATATTTGAACTGGGGACGGCATGGTGAGTAAGGTCATCGTAATGTTTGAACTGGGGACGGCATGGTGAGTAAAGTCATCCGTTGTGTTAGAACTGGGGACGGTATGGCGAATAAAGTTATATGTAGTGTTGAACCTGGGGACGGTATGGTAGATAAGGTCCCCCGTAATATTGAACCTGGGGACGGTATGGTGAGTAAAGTCATCCGTTGTGTTGGAACTGGGGAAGGTTTGTTGAGTAAGGTAAGGCTCGTTAACGTTGTCACAGTTCATGAATCTTTCATCATCTATATACTTTCCTGGCTGCGTCAAAACTTATTTTTCTTCGCCAGTTTCAAACCAAATTACTTTCTAATTCATGTAGTTAAGTTTGATGACAGTATGACCCTGTCTTACGCTTGTAAACTAACTTTTCACCTCCTCTGTAGACCCCAGAGACTCATGAGAAAAAGGAAAAATGATTAACGAATTGAAGAATTAGACGAAAAATTAAAAATGCAAATAGTAATCATTGTTTCATTATTTCGTTGTCTCATGGTGTGTCATGTTGCTTCTGAATATTTAAAATTTCATGTTTATAATTTTCTTCTTTTTGTTTTTCAAACAGATCGATTTATTGGAATTCGAAACAATCGAACGGTCCCTGGTATGTTGGACTTCTATAAACATAATTCTTAAATAATAACTCCATAAATATTTTTTTTGTAAATGATCCGAATTTTTATGCTATCAATGATACAATGGAATATTCATTGCTTCAGTATTCTGATGCTGTAGGTATGACAGATTTCCGTAAAGTTTTACTTGCCATTGTCAGATTTTGCTTCAGTCTATTATCAGTGTGATGAAATCCATTACCTTTATACCATATACGTAAATGGGAGGTGTTATCGGCTAAACCGTTTTGTTGTTCCACGTCACGTCATCACTTCATTGCATCATATGTATTGTGACGTCACTGTAATTCCGGATATATATAGTCCGTAATATTTTCCGTATTCCTAGACCGCCTTTTCGACTCTATAATTAGTCACTACCAAAGTGCATTTTGAAAGATCAACATGGATGCCGCCGGATTTGCAAATTTTGTTGTGAGGCCCCAATCATCTCTCTGAATAAATCTGAGGATTGTATGATTTTATCTGTTTGTTACAGTTACCAAATGAAGAGGTAATGAGCGAGATTAACATTAGTTTTTGCTGGTTTCATACAATAATTGTTAAAATTGTTTTTCACGATTTCTTGCGAAAGTATTGAAACATTAGGAGAAACAGAAATTTAAATTCGTTTTGATTTCATTAGACATTTAGGAATTCGTAACGACTTTTTTTTTTACCTTGCCTGCAACATGGTAAAATGAAAAGCCAACAATCATATATGAATGAAGTAATGCAATATCTTCTATTTGTCGAGTAGACAAGATGTTTTTACAGATCAAATTATGATATTTACAAATCATTCGTCAACTGAAAATATTCTTAACATTATTGCATTTTTTTCTTTATGTGAATTACGGTAACTGGAATAACTCAAATATATATATATATATATATATATATATATATATATATATATTACAGAATATTATATCGTACCAAGATATATCCTGTTTTTGTGTTGAATCAATAATTTATCATGGAGTTTTACAGATATTGAACTAAATCATTTATCAAAATTCTTAAGGCTTCATAAATCATAAAATGCAAACGAATGTAAGAATAGGTGGACACGGGCTCATTCAGCCAAACACAGCATAGCTGTTTATATAATGGGCGTCATCATACTGAGGGGCATTTAAGCGGTAAATTAAGGCTAAAAGGTAGAACCCTGGCATTCCAACACGTGACAAAAGACTATCATGTTTCAATGACTATCTTTATAACCATGCAGGCCGGGCGATGACTCTGAAAGGTTTCACAGATTTCTTCGACGCAAAGGCGATTGACAATTGCATTACAAATGGGAATTCGTCTTGCCACAATCTCGTTACAGGTACTCCAGCCTATCAAGGACTATTAAGGTAGACTGTCCTAACGTTTAGATTTTTTTTATCTTCTACGATAAAGATTTTACTTACTCTTGTCGGTAACAACAGATAATTGTCAACTAGTGTTTATTTAAAAAATTAAAGTGGTCTGTTTAACATGCCAACCTCAAGTGTTTTATGACTAAAATTATAATTGGAATGTGGATTTTTTGTTTTGTCACCCTTGTTAAATAAAGTCCTGTATATTTCATAGGAAAAGTAAGCCCACTACAAATTTGTTTTTTCCTAAACATATCAGTAACTTTATTTTGAATGCATAAGGAGTTCCGCATGTTCTGTCAATGTTTGTTGATAATGTTTTAATGTTACATGTGCTATAAAATGCAAGGTCATGGCGATCCGATGGATATTTGGGATTTCACAAGATGGAGGAATATTTCACAGAATAACCCTATGGCACAGGAACCTAAAGTGACTACGCCCTATCTAGTGCATCACGTGAACCCTGATATCAAACTGATAGCTCTGCTGCGAGAGCCTGCTGAGAGGTAAATTTCCGTAAACAGTTTGCGTGTCTTTTTTATATACAATATTTCATTTATTATATCCATGTCCATTACTGATTCTCAATTGATCAAGAAGCGTAACTTACATGGACTGACCAAGAATAACATGAAAAATTTTGTCGATGAAGCCAATGACACTGACGTTGCAGATATCTTATAGTTTTGGAATAACGTCATGTGCATGTGTAATTTTTACCCCACAGCCCGAAAGGGTGTGGGGTATTGCGATCACGCACGGCGTCCGTCCGTCTGTCTTTCTGTTTTACCGTCCACAATTGCATACCGCTTATTATCTCAAAAACTACATCACCGGTCATTACCATTTTCACTGGGGATGTTGGGCCTATGGACCAACACAACCCTATTGTTTTTCGTCACCGCGCGATATCCAATACTGCGGTTACGACCACCATCTTGAATTGGCATTCCGCTCATTATCTCAAGAACGACATCACCGGCGATCACCATTTTCGCTGGGCATGTTAGGTCTATGGACCTACACAACCCTATTGTTTTTCGTCGTCGCCCGATATCCATAATGAGCGGAATGCAAATGCCAACAAAAATCTACAGGCTTATTTACGTCCATAGAGCCAAAATACTCAGTGAAAATGGTGATCTCCGGTGATCTCATTCTTGAGATAACTTTCCACTCACCCGAACCGCACATTTTCAACTTTATAAGAAGGCTGTGGGGGTATTTCCCGCGTTTGCGGAGTTATTTTTAACCGTGCAAGTATTCTAATGAATTAAAACGAGGCATGTAGGTTTTGCCAATGTATGCTTCATTGAGCCATGCGATATATTTTGAACGTTTTGAAATTAAGGTTCAAATAGTATAGGAGATATGGCGCCAGAAACTTTCTCTAAAACCTTGAGAGTTCACCTTGACATAATTTTGCTACATTATGCATAATATTATCCCAAAATGCATCCAATGGGCGATATAGTCATTACTTACTGGAATGGTGTGTCGAAGACTGCACCGAAGTAAAACAAGTAAATAAAGACCGCATTCTGTCTTACACAGCAATCCCTTCAGCTCCGGTTTGTGGTTCAAAGTGTAAAAGATAAATAAACATGTAAACAAACTCAATTTTTAAAAAGCCGGAAATTACTAACAGCTTGGGAAGTCTTCATTTATTTCATAGTGTATCAGAAGTACAACAAAATATCGGAATTTGGTTTATTTTTTGCCTCTCTTTAAGTGAGTACAAGCAACTTTAGTCAAAATATTTTAAACGATTTTTTGTCCCTTCTTGACAAAGCCATTAAACCTTGCAATTCTTCCAAACATTAAAACTGTTTAATTTTATTATTGTCAAAAGAAGGTGTGAAAATACAAAATATTCGTTCTTTAAATTCATATATCTATATGTGTACTTACTTATAAAATACAAAACGTCTCAAAGCATCTCGATTTCACGAGGTATTTGCACACCTGATTAAATCACCGTATATTAACTATACCAAACACAGTTGATATTCCCACACTTGCAAATGTATATTGCAGGACATATTCCCACTATCTCCACCTACGCTATGGGGAAACAAAAGAGGCATTCCACTTCCACGTGGTCAAGACCATCAAGTACCTAAGAGACTGTGAGAAGCATGGTCGACTACGAGCTTGTGTATATAGACGAGGTTTTAGAATGGTGGTAATGTAAATTTTAGGTCACTGTCAAGAAAGGAATGAACGCATTTCTTCCAAATAGCTAAGTTTTAATTTCAGATAAAAATAGTTTTCAGTTCATATAAAGATTAACACAATGTTTAACTGTATGCTTGATGTATTTGTCCTTAATCTCATTGATCTACATAAAAACACTGGATTTTTATAACACAGGCCCCATTACACGCTAGTCTGTATTATCTGCATTTGACTGAGTGGCTGAAGGTATTCCCAAGAAAACAGATACTCCTACTGACCACTGAGGAATACCACAAGGACACGGCAGGCACACTTCGTACTGTGTTCAGACATTTAGATCTAGGTAAGATACTTCGTTTTGTGTTCAGAGAATAGAATCTAGGTAATGGCATTATGTACTTTGTTCTAACACTATAATCTAGGTAAGTTCATTTTGTGTCGTGTTCGAATACCATGGTTATTTTGTATCGTGTTCGAATACCATAATATTGGTAAGGGTAATTTTGTGTCATGTTCCAACACCAGGATCTAGGTAAGGTCATTTTGTGCCGTGTTGCAACAGAATCTAGGTAATCGCTCTGTGTACTGTGTTCAAACGTCAGAACCTAGGTAATGTCCCTCTATATTGTGTCCAGACGCCAGAATCTAGGTAATTCCTCTTTGTACTATGTCCAGACGCCAGAACCTATGTAATGCCTCTCTGTACTGTGTCCAGACGTATGAACCTACGTAATGCCTCTCTGTACTGTGTCCAGAGGTTATGATATAGGTATTGTTACCCTGTACTTTGTTAAGATACCAGAATCTAAGCACTGTCACTTTATACTGTGTTTAGACACAAAACTTTGGTAAGGTCGCCTTGACTGTGTTCAGACGTATGCGTATAAGTAAGATCTCTTCTCGCTGTTTACAAATCCCAATCGCGGTAAGGTCACTTCGTTGATTGTATTCAGACGCCTAAATCTAGGCTAGATGACTTAGATGACACATTTTCCGATTCTTCAAACGTCCGGGCTAGTAATGTATCGTTCAGGCAGCACTAATAGGGAACTTGCCATTAACCGAATATTGATTACGAGTATCTACGTTGAATTTGGTAATATAATTATTTACTAGAATCCTTATTAGTGACAAAATATTCACTTAAACCTTGGTTATCAGCAATGTTGTATGATTTTAAAGACAAAATAAAATTGGGTCTCAAAGTTTGTCCCGCAAGAAAAGTATGGGCGAGTCCCGGATTAGTCATCAAATATCACTAGTCGGTTTCACATCCATGTGTATTATATTTCAAGTTTAATTGCAACATAGGTTGTTATTTCCCTGTAAGACTACAGTACTGAGTCTTGCTGTCATGTTAAACCTACAGTACGGATTGTTATTTTCCAATTATGAATACAGTATGTGTATTTTTCCCAAATCAAATTACTGTATAAATCATTGTCTAGTTAAAAGTTCAGCACGCGTTATTTCCCAGTTAAATTAAAGTGTGGGTTGGTATCTTCAAGTTATACTACAGTATGAGGTATAATCTTCTAGTTATGATATAGTATTGGTTATTTCTCAGTTAAACTAAAGTGTTGGTTCTAGGTATATTACAGCATGAGGTATAATTTCCATTTTATCATAAAGTCTTGATTAAATTCCATTTAAACGTTAGTATGGCTTTTTATTTCTTCAGTGAAACTAGTTTGGATTATTAATCTCCAGTTTAATTACAGTAAGAATTATTGTTTTCCAATCTAATTACAGTATGGAATATAATTTTCTAGTTATGATACAGTACAGTGGTATTTGTCCTGGTCAGATTGCATTCATCAACCAGAGACTTTGTAGCATAACGTGAGCACGCCCGATACATCACCAGAAAGATCATGGAGGTTTTTAGTCTACCTGGCGACAAAGCACACGTTAAGGAATTATCATTTAAAACGCCATTCAACAGTTTCAACTTTTCGAAGGGCTTAAAATGATTTAAACATTGTAATATTCATTTTGAGTATTTATGAGTTTCGCGTGGTATTTGTCCCGGTCAGACAGTATTCATGAACTAGTGACTTTGTAGCTTAAAGTAAGCACCTGTTTTTGTGGCTGCCTACGTCCGCCATCTTGAAAAGACCATTCCCTATATGGAAAGGATATAAAAACAAGTCAGCCAACCAGTTGCAATTGTTTCTTGAGAAGTACTGGATGGTTCTTTCTCAGATTGCATATGAAGGTTTCCCTTGGTCCCTAGTTGAGAGCTTTTGACTTTGGTACAGACAAAAAAAAAAAAAAAAAAAAAATGGTCGATAGACGACCACATTGGATTTTACCGTCAGAGATTATTGTCGCTACTTCTTTACAGGAATTTTCAAAATTAATGAAAATTAATCAAAATTAATTAATCGGCAAAAAAAAAAAAAAAAAAAAAATGGTCGATAGACGACCACATTGGATTTTACCGTCAGAGATTATTGTCGCTACTTCTTTACAGGAATTTTCAAAATTCTTCTAATTTTGAAAAAAAAGTGAGAATAGAATTAAAGGGGAAATATTTAACTTCCAAAGAACAAAGAAAGATCAAACAGTGATGGGCGCTAACATTGTTATACTTGTCTTAAATTCTAAACAAACGACAGTACCCACGAAACCAGAATAAATATGTTCCTCTCAAAAATAAATGTTCTTTCATTAAATGGAATTTTTATTGGATTTTTTTTATCTAACCATCGAGTATCAACATCATTTCTCTAAGAACTGGTTTTATCTTTGTAGATCCGATGTCTGACTCAGATCTTGTAAGAGTGGCAAATCGACGTAAGAAGTATGTTTCGTCACTGAAAGCAAAATTGGGAGACATGCTGCCGCAAACAGAAACACTTCTTCGAAAATATTTTAAAAAGTCTATTCACAAACTTGTGGCGTTACTAAATGATACAAAATATTTAACTTGGATTGATAACAATTCATCTAGAGACAAAACAAAAAAATCATTTAACACACCATTCAATAAGAAAAGCAGTTCAAAAGTTCACATGAATACAAAATACGGAGACAAAAAGACGTTACAGACTATTCATGGCCTCAGATTACCCACAAATAATATACCACGTGCTGATTTCCCTTCAAATATACTTCAGGTGTTCAAGTTTCCTTCAACTCAACGACCAAATGATTCATTCCATTCCAATTCTATACCTAATGCGAATTTATCTCCAAACAGAGTGCAATATAATCAATTGCGTTCTAATAAAATATATGAAGTTAACTTACTACCAAAAAACATGCTGAAGAACAAACCCCTGCTGAGTACACCCTTCAAACCTGTACAGACTTCAAATAAAATTCCAACTACAACACCTTCTTCAGACACAACACCACGCACCAAACAAAATTCAAACATAATTCCTCCCTTTGAATTCACTTAAAGTACAAGATCAGATATCAATTTACAAACAAATTCCCATTCCAGAAACACACTGTTCTATCTAAAATGAAACATTGCATTCACATTGAATTCCCATCATGAAATTTTCTATTAATAAGCAAAATTAAGTTTTTATATGAGCCCCTTAATTAAAAGCCAGAAATAAAGACAAATGAGCATGAATGTAAATAAACAACTGTGTTATTTGTGCGTTCTTTTTTCTGTTGTTTCCTGTTTCCATTGCAGAGAATACTTTAAAACACAATGTGTAGGTAGTGCATGGCTCGTTCAAGACTGGATACACAAAACGTGTTTGCCCTAGTGGATCGATTATTCAGTAGAGAGGTCATGACCTGATGCTCATCCTTACCCGTTATATAGAGATCATGCTATGTTTGATAAGAGGTCGGTCCATGTTCAGAATGTGAACCATTCGGTGCTAGCATTTGGTTAAAGAAAGAAAAATTACGGTAAAAACAGTCCTTCCGTAGATCCGTTCTGGTAATTAAAATTCCATAGAAAGCGGATTTAATTATAGAATTGGGATACCTGTGAGTACTTTGAAATTCACATTATTAATGTATAAATTATATGCTGTTTATGAGCTGTAAGGCTTCAAGTTAAATATATAATGAATGAACACACCTAGCCATTGCCTGGAACCTGTCGGTGGGGGGATTCTTGGTCATGACAAGACAATAATTGATTCGACTGTGAATTAACCTGAATAAGGTAACAAGACAGCCAGTTTTACATAAAGGAATAACTCTTGGCATATTAAAATTAGTGATTTTTTCGTCAAAAAGTCACAAAACTCGCTATGTCATTTGTCACGAAGGCAAGTCGAAGGTGAATAAATCTAAGTACACAATATCGTCATAGAAGCAAATACAAGATTGTATGTGCTACTGGTAGCCTCTATAGTCGTACGTTTACAAATAGGCATTGGAATCCAAACTTTTACATACGGAGGGTATAGTGCCCTTTTGTGCCAAAAATGAAAAAAGTATGCTTTTGGGGAAAACGCCACAATATTTCTTCATTCTTTTATGAAAACTAATCATGAACCTCCTGATAATAACATGATAAATATGTTATTTCTGAAGTATAGTGAACCGAAATAAAATGTTTACACTTGGTTTTATTAATACAAAAGGACTGTCACCTTCACGAATAATCCATTACAGTGAAATTTAAACTTTCAAATAGTCGTCATGTTCCCTGATAAATGTTCTTACAACTACTTGTTCTATATTCTAACAAGAATGCTCAATGATAGATTTAAGTTGGTTTACACATTAAACACCCTAATCTGGAATCCAATATGGGTTCTTCGTCCTAGAATCTGATCGCGATGTCATTGTTAGTCTATATCGCCCATATATAATGCCTTGAAGATGACGATTCGTGGCGAAATCAACCTTACTTGAAGTCTGTCTTAAACGTTTGTCTTTTGAATGCAAAGGCTTACTGGTTTCCAAATGCATGAAGTATCCTAAAAGTGCAGGATACTGCATACATGGACAAATATTCCCAAGGTTATCTGTCCAGTATGCCACTAGCAATAATAATCCTTAAATGGAGACGGAGCTGTCATGCTGGATCCAAACATTGTACTTTACTCTGCTCTTATGTCTCGAGTGGATCTGACGTCATACAATGAATGCCTATGGATCCAGATCTCGTAGTCCCCATCATCACTGAGGTGCTCACTTATGTAGCCAGTTGTCAATGACATTAGGTATGTGCCACAGGATATTGTCATGTCTAACTTTGGAAAGTCACAATTATCTGCAGTAGCATTTAGTTTGGTGACAAAGAGTGACTTGGTAAGATGTGGCTCATTTTTCACAAGATGAGCCGAGTTTTGGTGAACACTAAGGCGCGTCTTCATTGTGGCTCCTCTGCTCTTGTGTTCCAACATATATTGGTCCTCTGATTCTTATGTTACAGGCCGTTACGAGTGCCTCGATGACATCAACGAAATAGTTGGAGACAAGTTGTGTTTTGAAAAACAGCCATTGCTTGAATCGTCCGTGATATGATTCCACTATCCATCTGTATTTAGTTATAGATCTATCAAGATTAGCTTGTAGGTCGCCATGTCGAGTCTGCCTTGGTTTTAGATATTTTTTATTTAACCATACGATTCCAAATCTGACAAAACACCCCTAACCCCTCGATCAACGATGACTTCATCTTTCTCCAGAAAAGACTATCAATGCTGGCTTTTGTAATTTTCGCAAAATCATCGCTTCCAGGAAAAAAGGTCCTACTGTACACAGAATGTAAACATAAGGCAGAGTTACGCTCATGAACTTCAAATAGTTCCCCTTCCTCTGGAAATTGACATATTAAACAGAATTGAACAATGATATTTCCGTCTTCTTTTTTACCAAGAACAACAGTAGTGCATCCTGGTGGTTTGGAGTGTAAATACCAGTGCCAATAGAGGATGAACAATAAGAAAGAAATTTTAGAAACTGTTCTTGTCCAGGCTTTACAATCTGTACCATCTAGACAGGAGAAATGCGGAGTACATTGTATTTTAAATAGTCAAGTAATTTGTGAAAATATAGAATTTTTGCAGGCATTTTTGGGAGTAAAAATGGTGAAAATATGCTTCTACTTATATAATTTGTTCATTATTCAGGAGTTCAGAAATCAATCTCAGAATATTTCACTAACACGTCAGACCAACGACTTGAAAGTATTCTCTTCAAATACTGTTTTCATTTGAATTTTAAAAAAAGTTTTTCTCACTTTAATTATAGCTTCAGTACAAATAAAGAAAAATGAATCTAATTTGTGAATTTTTTGTTTGTTTTCTTTGTCATTTGACATGTTATGCCTATCCAATCAACCTTGATTACTCTTATGTATACAAACATTTTCCCTCACACTTGACCTAATCAATAGTGTTCAGTGTTGTAATCACAGATGAAAGTAATTATCTATTTCCTTAAAGACAAAACTGGGTAAATACAATCTGTGAGTAGTTTTCATTCATGTGGCTTGCTGTCACCAGCTGAAAAATGAGGCCCCAACTCTGTATTGCAAGTGATCCGTAAATGGAGCACAGAATGCACACACGTGCATTGTTCACACTTAGGCATGACTGTCCCTTTTTTTATTAAGATGAATAAGTAATTACAAGACTCATAGATATACTTTGTAAACACCAACAAGATTAATTTTAATGCATTATGATCATGTGGTTATAAATCCACATTCCACATACTGACGCCAGTCTTAATCCACTCTCCACACAGTAACATGTCAACACTAACTTCCAACAGTCTTACCCACACCGCACACACTAACCTGTCGAAACTAACTTCTTTCTTCAAACATAAGGGAAAAAATAAAATGAAATAGATCATTATCTAACAGTTGTTTCTGCAAGTGTTTCAGAAGAAAATGGCAAATGGTAAACAAAGGGAAGTAACTCTGTATGTAGCAGAGTTTCAAGAAATCTTTTCAAATTGATAGCTAAAAACTATGGGTCAAATAATTTAAAATTTACTAATTTCTTTCAGTCTCTTAACAAATTCATTGAGTAAAGGACTAAGGACTCGCAGATAAACTTATCAATGAGCCAGATGGTAATTCTGTATGTAGCCGAGTATTGGATGTGCCATTCCATTATCTAGTTGATACACTGTTCTGTGTTAAAACCTGTTAGTACGAACACAAAGTTTGACAGACAGCATTTTAACCATTTTAGAAGCAATGACCTAAAAGTTGTGATAATTTTCTTCCATTAAGTGTTTTGTGTACAATATCATATCAGACAATGTATAGCCGAAGTATTATCATATCTCAAAATTTCCATGCCAAACATCAAAAAGATGTCTCTATATACCAAACAGCAGATTAAAATTCAACATCATTAAGTTATGGTGCATGACTATTATTGTTTTAACATGACAATGAAATCAGTTCATATCGACTATCCTGCTGATTTCTGGAGATACATGTAGGAATTAATAAGGTTTTTGAGAGTTTTCTGACTTGGCACACGTACAAAACATCAGTTATTTTTTATGTAATGTGATGTATATTGACATCAAATGTTTTCTTTTCCTGAATCTTCGAGTTCAGTTTTGTTTTCTGAAAAGTCTTTCTCCAAGTCCTTTGCATATGTTGCGAAAAAGAGATCCCTGGGTGTAAACTCTGCCTGGTTAATCTCTTCTGTTCCCCATGGCACGTACGCCTTCAACTGTAATCACAAATGTCAATATCTTTTTCATTTCTTGAGAATATGAAATAAAATAATCAGTCTGATTTTAGAGTTGAAATGAAAAGCAGATTTTAATACTTGAATATTTGTTCAATGTTTTTCATTCTGATGGAAATGTTGATTGATACTAGTTATCTGAGTACTTTATGTCGGAATTTTCATGTTAAATTTCGACAAGGGGTCTAAACTTGAACAAACTTAAAAACAGCAACAATTGGAATATATGTGTTGTATAGAGAAGAGAAAATGGGAAAAGTAATTTGCAAAGGAAAAGAAGAGTTTTACTGAAGTTGCACCCGAGGTCATGAAATTTACACTTTTGGTAAAGCCATTTATAATCCCTTTCATTCAGAGCGAGTATTGATACTAACATATTCGGTTATTGATAAGATTTTAGAAATTTTGCCCAGGGTCAATAAGTGTATAACATTGAAATGTCATCCTACACTAATGATTCTAACAGAGTTTGATCTATTTTCAAAATATTTCCAATAGAAAATAAACAAATCACGCTCATCCCAGCATGCTACAGCCCCAATGACAGCACCCTGGGCCTTTTGGTTATTGAGAAGAATTTGTTTAAAGATTTCAATACATTTGACCCCTGTGACCTTGAAAGTGGATAAAGATCATTCGTTTTGACAAACCTTGAAGCCCTTCATCCCTATATGCTACAGGCCAAAAAACAGCACTCTGAACTAATTTGTTTTTGAGAAGTCATTTGTCATAAGTTAATTGTAGCAAATGTATTCAAATACTATTTCACTATTCTAATGTTGGGAAATAAGTATTCACCTGTGCACAATTTTTTCAACTCCAACTGATTGACTTATATTTTACTTCAGTTTATCACAGGAACATGTCAAACACTGATTATCGAAGAAATATTACACGAGTTGTATATACCTATGGATGAAAAATACTGAAGAAAGCCTTCAATATCACAGATGAAAGATTTATTTTATGGTATCCTGTTCAAAATCAGATTTATTTTATAAGTATGTTAGCTATATATTAAGTGAATTACGGTATTAAAGTTAAAATTTTTCATGGACAAATGTGAAGGACCTCCTGTATGTTATTCAGAGAGGAAGTCACCAACTACAGCTTTTAAAAGGAGACCTTGCCTAAAACCACTTTGGATGAATCTAGGGCTGCAATAGCCCAGCTACACTAGAATACTGACCTACATGTAAAAATCTGAGGTGTGTATTCTGACATTACCTACATATCTGACATTACCTACCTGTGGTGATTGGTGATCCTCAGAATGCTGACAAACACACAAGTCTACACTAATAGGTTTGTGTCCAGGGGCAAGACATTTAACCCTAATATTACTCGGGATGTCAAATGATTTTAATAATTCAGGTAGCAATCAACTACTACAAGAAAACCTACTTAAAAGAGACCCTATCTGTTCATAGGCCCATTAACCTACCAAACAAGATAGAACACTGGAGCTAGTCAGACAAAACCTATAGTGGTAGATTCCAAAAGTAAATACTAATACCTTAAAGTCTTTCAGATCAGGAACTATGAATTCTGGTACCATCTCTTTAATATGTCTATACTTCTTCACGTTTTCATCATACTTTCCAGTCTCAGCAACTCCTGAAGGTAAAAAATAATATTATTCATATTTATCCTACAACTGGGTCTACCATTGTAGTAATACACCTGCCACATATTTTTTCTGTATTCAGAAATGATGGAAAACATATGTATTTTAGCATATGTGTTAATTTGACAAAATTTCTCTCTAAATTCACTTAAAAATTTTGTTTTATATGTTGTAATGAACATGTTCATTTATGAAAATTCACTCCATTGGTGTGATGTCCAGTGAAATTTAGAATGATATATCTGTGTGGAGCAATCATTTCAGCATATGTTATCGGGAAAAACTCAGTGTAACATCATTGTCAGGTAAACAAACACAGAGTGGACAAAACTTTTGAAGTTTTGATGGCATGGTCAGTGTCTCAGAATGTAAGCTGTATTTTGGCTCAGGACAGACAAAATACAGCTTATATTTTAAGACACTGACCATGTATACCCTATTTATGTCATTACAGAACAAAGCAATACTTTTGGACTTCTGCAGCCAAAAAAATGCCAGAAGGCGTGACCTATTATTCATGGTCGATTTTTATTAAATTGGCAGACGACAACAAAACACTGACATCCAAGGATGGACTGATTGGTTATTTCATATCTAGGAGGATGTTTGTCATGTGTATGGTTTAAATCACTTTTTTTAGTCTTTCTGGAAGCGTGACATGTTACAACAACCAACATTATCTGGGTGCAAGGTCACGAAGGTCAATACTTTATATGATTGGACTCGACAAAAAGCCATTCCGAAAAACATAACGGTCCGGAACTGATGTGAAGATAATATGGCCAGATTTGCCGGTGCTCCAGTAACTATGTATTATAAGCAATCCGACCTGATAACGCTGACCCACTCCCCCCTCCCCTTAACTTCCTCCCCGAGACAAGCAGGTGCCCAAACGATGAATGTAACATGAAGTCATTTTCATTTCATTTTGATGATGTAAAACTGTTACAAGTATAGTTATAAAACTCACGCTCATAAATAGGGTATTGGACCTTTGCTGCGATCTCGTGTGATCCTCCGCGTTTTCCAAACGACACCTGCTTTGGGTTCGTAACATGAGCAGATGCCTTTTTTTTCACTTCTGTTAATTCACGAAGAACTGGGAGTTTGTCCTTCCTCCTAGTAGCGTACTTGCGACATAAGAAAACTGATTGAAGCTGTCGACTTGTCGTAAACAGCGGAGATCTAACAATTCCGTTATGCATTCTGCCGCATGAAAATTATCCGGAAATACAAAGCTCCATGTAAGAACTAAAACGGCCGCCGGTTTATATATCCGGATTTTGTAAAAACAGTGCCCTCTTGTTAGTAAAACATGGTATATATTAAAACACTGATTGTTCCCGACACGATTATGAAATTTTCATACATGCTGAACATAATACATTATCTTATTAAAAAATTCAATATACTTATAAATGAGTAGCTGTAGGATTGCCCATTTTTGTATGTTAGATAGGAAGTATATTACAATTTCTTCAAAAACACAACATTAGATAAGTATATAGAACAGAACGAAACTAAGTAGTTAGTGTGATGGGCAGTTCGAGTCGGAAACAATTTACGTGTGTTGACGTGTGTTCTGAACCGTGCAGCTATTTCTGACAGGGTTATTCTAAATCTCGGATACTTAGGTCCACCAGGAGTCTATCACCTGAATCCAAAAGAACTTTTTCATTTATTTTTCAATGATAACATTTTATATCAAAGCAGTACAAAACATGCATTAGGAAATTTCAAATTTCAGCAAACAAACAAACTTCGATACAATAGCGCCAAATATTAAGTTAAATTGCATCAGACGAATGTTTCGTCCTTCCAAGACTCGTCTGTTATGTCAGGGGCCTAAATTGTTAAAATTTTCGGGTCGATTAAAAAATATTATTTTCAGAATGCAAAAAATTTAGATTGGATGTTGACTTAACCCGAAAGTGTGAGCAGAAACATTATGAAATCTGCTTAACAAAGCAGTTTAATCGGTGCAGTTATCTTCAACATCGCATGTGTTTTCCAGGGAGACTTCATGCTTAAAGAGTAACTTAACCTACTAATTTCTTTATAAAGTATTTCTCCTTTGTCATGTGAGGTAGAATAATTATGTGTTTCATAACCAAATAAAAAATCTCGCTTTCATGAATTCACTTGAGATGTCATGATTTGTCACATAATAAACATATGGGTCATGATTTTGTCTAAAAGGTGTTATATTTAGTTTAGGATAAACAAATGTGTCTTCAAAGTTGCAATTTAGCGTACAGATATATATATATATATATATGCGAAGGTTGATAGCTGGGCGGGGATCATTGAAATTTTAGCACAACATATATTTTATCTCGCAGGGCGACAATTATATATGTTATTTGCATTCTCTGTGTTATCGCTTTATTCATAACAAAAGGAAGAAATCCTGGCCTGCATGATCCCTACCCTCCTGCCCCTACTCCTTGATTCTAGTATTAATTGATAAACACGGAAAATCGGTATTTTCTGTACAATTTAAATGTTACGGTGTCTACATACTAAAAGTCCACGGTTTGATAGAATGTTTTTTTTTTCATTCTCACAGAAATAGAAATTTAAATAACTTCATTTCTCAGAGAGAAAAGGCGAGCGAAAAGATCAAAGTTGCAAATGTTGTGATGGAGAGGACGAGCTTGTAATAGTGTTCCACTTTCTTTCTTCAACGTCCCTTTAACAGGGGATTGAAGAAACCTTTGTAGAAACCACATGTTTAACTTCCAATACGCTTTATCTTCCGGAAGATTTTCTTTCTTTATTTTCTCGGTATTATTTAAAGCTTCTTTATCCGGAGGACGTAATCATAAAGATGATCGAGTTTTTAGTTGACAACATCTTCGTCGAGTTTTTTGGTAATATCTTCCAACAGACTATTGGCATACCTATGGGAACCAACTGCGCCCCTTTGTTGGCTGACTTGTTATTGTTTCCATAAGAGGCTGAAGTTGTTTAATTTCATTTTCTGATATGTTGATGACGTCTTGTCTTTAAATAAGAAGAAATTCATTGACTACGTCCATCGTATATTCCCAATAGAACTAGAAAATTAGATATGACAGGCTCATATACATCAGTTGGTTATCGCGTTTCCGTCAACGAAACCAAAATAGACAACTTTCCATCAAGCTGCATGATAAACGTGATGACTTTAATTTCCCTATAGTGCATTTTCCATTTCTGGATAGCTATATCCCTGCGTCTTCAACTTACGGTATTTAAAATGATTCGATATTCAATGACCTGTTCCCATTAACACAATTTTCGTGCTACATGTCGTCAACTGACTGACAAACTCGTAACACAAGGATTTAAAAGATGCAGATTGATGATAATTATGGGGAAGCTTTATGGTCGGCATAATGATCTCATTGAGAAATATTCTATTTCTTTGTGTGATGTGAAGCTGGACGTATCTGATGCTCGTTAGTTTGCCTGTTGGTTTCGTTATTGTATACCTTGTTCTCATTTGAGAACGTGACATTTCTTACTTGGATTGACCAATGTTTACATGGAGGGTATCGTCGATGAAGCAGAAGACGCTTACACTTCATGAACACCTGGTCTTATTCTCCTTGTACTTTTTCAAGAGTCTTCGTGTAAATCTTTCTTTTGCACTAATTTTATGGAATTTTAGTTTGAATTATCATTATGTTGCAATGTTGGTATTTTCTTAATATGCTTTTGTTGTTTAAGTATAAATGATATTGAATTATTTTGATGCCATATAAACAATCCCTGAAATTATCAGTAAATATTTACTGCAATTATTATTGAAGGTTTTGACACGAGCTAAACATATTGCATAGATATGTTCGAACAAAACCGTAAATTTATGGCTTTGATGAGTTACTAAGCAAATGAGTAGATTTCAACCAATCAGGATCGAAGCGCCACTTATTTTCTCATAATCTTATTTCCGTATTAAAAACGTGGGCATACAGAAAAAAGAACGATATAACAGGGAAGAAAATTATGAAAAAAAATACGAAAACATGTACCTCTATAATCAATAGAAGTAACTTTTTCTGCGTTTCGTTAGTATAGCAGAAAAATATTGTCTGTAAGTTTTTATTGCCATATATAGTATAGGCGTAGGCTGATGAATATGCATTAGGCCAAATAGGCGAGTAAGGCATTTTGCATTTTTCGTTGTACTGAGTCAGGTATACAGGTGTATTGTATAGGTGGGGTCATTCTAGCCTTGTATCGTACAGGCTGTTTTTTATTTTTTAATGTCAGAATTTAGATTTAGTAAAAATAGAATTTTTTATCTATGGGAGGTAACTCGGACATGACAAAGTTGTCAGTGTAGGTACGAAGGTTTTCCATTTAGCTCATAGAGTTTATCAACCCTGGGCTGTATTGTATGGAAATGGAAGTTTAGAAACAAGAGTTATTAGTAGATATGATCAAAATATTTCGGAGTATGTATTTCAAGTAATTTTATATGAATAATACAATAAAACAAAATATGTGTCAAATATTAATAAACGCCGGCTTTCTAGCTGTTCAGCAGGCTAAATGCATACCTGGCATTTGTGTTTTTATTTGATAAAGTGTTTTATGGGAAATAGTTTAGACCAGTCATTACGTTTAACGCCCAAATGCACGTTTCCACAAGAGGTCGGTATTTACTTTAAATACGTATACGCCCTATTCAGACTACACGGCGGGCCATCGAATGCTGCATGGCTGCATTCTACCTGTGATTTGACGTCACGAAAAGCGCACAGCACGTGCGGCATTGCACTTTACCTGTAAATGTACCTTTTACGTCAGTACATTTGAGTATGCAGATTGCTCACATGATTTTTGTTTTTCTGACGGAAATCTGTAGTTAGCATAACATCAATTTTCATTCTAATTCTGGTGTTTTTCTTCTGCCTATTTAGCCAGGCCATTCTTCGCTTTGTGAATAACCTTGTAGCATTTTTCAAACGCAACCGATTCTCGCTGGAAGTCGTATTCTTGTTTACTGATGTGGTGTTCTGTGCACATGTCAGGTTATATGACGTAAAAAATACATTTACAAACTGTTAATCAACGGCGTGTGATTTTCTTTTTATAATTATTTAGTAACATTATTATTTGCAGATTTCAGCGGAAAGAAATTTTCATTGATATGTACATGTTCCATCCTGAGATTAAGTAGTGTTTTGATCTCCCTACATACTGCAAATGGCACTTGGCACACATCATCGGCTAGAACTACCACATCCTCCAGTCGGTATCCTGCATATCGGCCAATGTAATACACTTGATAACGTTTACCAAGTTTCATTTGCAGTATGTGGAGCAAGTCAAAACACTACCTAATCTCAGGATAAAAAATCACAGATGTTCTATCAAACAGAAACACTCGGATCTGCCTGTAGCAAGACATTTCAACATACCAAATCTTTCTTTTCATGACATGCAGGTAGTACCCATTGACCACTGCATGAGTTTGGGTGACCAGCAACGCCTCAGTAAAAACGACACTGGATTGACCACCTCCAAACCTGCTACCTACTTGGAATGAACGAGAGATGATCTTGTTACTACATACAGGTTCGGTCATACATACCTGGCAGCCGGTACATTTCAAGCTACCACTGAGGCAACTAGTATCATATTACCTACCTATCCGCACCTTTAAAAAAATTCAAATAAACAGACTTGTTCTACTTATTGCACGTTTTACTTAGTTACTACATCTACTTTCTTCCTACTTGAGATTGGCGCCGTTTATTTCTAGTCCAGAAGTAGAATTTTTCAATTTTATGGGGCGACTTTTCAATGGGCGAGTTGACGATTCTGGGGATTATTTAACCATATTCAAAATTATATATATATATATTATGCATTTAACTAGAGTTTTTTAAAAACAAATTCCTTTTTATTGTAAATACACATACATTAACATTATTTTACAATAAATTGTCTTATTTACTTACAATTCCTAATTTAGAATGTGGCCGAGACTGTAGACTACTTTCCTCGGAGAGTGACGTGCAATAATTTTCGTCGCGATCACATATACGCTCAGTGTCTAGAGTGCAAAGCATGCCTGGCTTTATGTAAAACATTTTTGATATTTTCATCACCATCTTACATACGACAATTTCGGATGGTTTTGTGTCCGCTATAAACGGCTTTCTGTGTCCATCGGCTGAAGGGATTATCGAGACACCTAAATTTACACAATCGCTCTCGATTTAGATTGATAACTTTGTATTTTCTTTATGTTCTATGTAGGTGATGTAATTTGTGAAATGTCGGTGTCTTGATAAAGGAAAAGGTTGCCTCGCAAATTTGACAATTCGCTTGTCATTTAAGTCGTTTTACCATGATGTCACTGTAAGATTTGTCCCTAACAACAAGTGTTGATTTCATACCTGCTATCGACGTATGGAAAATTCCCTTCGTAAAAATATGTATTGTGCTATTTTGATAATGAAGGACACGATATTTCACTTTGTGTCGCTTGCTATAATGTAAATTTTAATATAAGATTCCTTATTATGTTTGAAAGTAGAAAAGGGATATTTCACATGAGAGTCACAAAATGATAACACGTGAGGATTTCCGGGGGTTGTATCACATGTTTTAGTGTATAGGAAAGTGATATAACCCTACCCTACATAAACATATATTCAGCCTAGATTATCTAGCAAAATTTGACCCTCCCGCTATATCAGAAATTGTAGAAATTTTCAAAATCTTTATAAATCTTTAATACTCTCTCTAAAACAGGTGGCGAATGACAATTTCATGCATACTGTTTGTTTCATCGACACCGGTATGTTTCTGCCAGGATATTCGGGTGTAATCGTAACTTGATCAATTGGAAAATCCACAGGTGTTACTTTAAATAGACTCAATGCCTCGAACAAAAAGCGTCGCCGTAGTATTGACAAACTTGTGACAGGGGTACAAAGTCCCCAACAGCCACCATTGACGACATGGCTGCCCTGGCCCAGGCTCCAGTACCTGGTTGTCCCCGTCATCAGGGGAAAGGATTTGTATACGTCTGTAAATCGTGTAACGACCAGTTGATTTGTATGGAGTGTGTTACAGGCAGTCACAACGGTCACACATTGGGAAAACTTACTGAATACGTGGAGAGCCAGAAACGGGAAATACAACAGTATGTTGACAAACTCTCCAAGGTCGACATTCCGAAAGTTGAGGAAGATATTCGGGAGAATGAGACAAACGGTGGACAATATCAGGCAGCTATCAGAGACATTAAACGTCAGGGGGAAAAGATGAAAGACGATATCGACAGAAATATCGATATGTTAGTGAACATGTGTACCGAGTTAGAAAAATTAAATGCAACTATTTCTGAGAAAAATAAAACAGCATTAAACAAACATCTGAACAAGGACTTGAAACCAAAACTACACAGAACTCGTGGGGTTCTGGCATCTGGTACCACCGCTGACGTCACAATTTTAGCGCGGGAAATTAGGAATACATCCATTGTACCACCTACTCTCAGAAAGTTGCAGAAAGTGGAATTCAAATCCGGGACCATCTCCAAAGAACTGCTGGAACATATGCTCGGTAAGATACTAGTCGACGGAGAGGATCAGTCTTGCAAACCGATAACTGCTCCTGTGATTCTGAACAAAATTACACCGTCATTTGATTACAATACGTGTCAGGCACATCTTACTGGTGACGAGGCGTGGCTATCGTTCTGGGACAGTGATAGAGTGTACCGAGTGGATACAAAAGGCAGAGTGAAGGAGAAGATACAGTGTAAGGTTAAAGTCGATTCGATATCCATATCCCCGACCACGGGCAGGGTGTGGTTCTGTGTGTGTGATGACAGAAGTATCCGGGAAATCACGACAGGTGGTGATAATGTTAAACGATTTAACGTCACCGACACGCCACGTTCTCTTTGTATGACCAGTGATGACATGGTAGTGGTTGGGATGGAGGGAGGAATACAGCTGTTCACTACAGACGGACGGGTGGTATCATCTAGAGCGGGAGGTCCTTGTAGACAGGTAGCAGTTCTTCCTCATCAGATAACGTCATGTAAACAGACCGGTGACGTAGCTGTTGTTGACAGTGATGGCGTGTCGTATGATAGCTACATGGCTGGTAAAGGACCAGACAAACAACCGTACGTCATCGTGATGGATAAACACCTCAACCTAAAGTTTCACTGTAAAGACATCAGTGCGACCAATCCAATCCGAAGTTCTACTCAGTCATCAAAGTTTTATCCGTACGATGTTTGTTTTGATGGAGCCGGTGATGTCCTTGTAACGGAATGGATCACCAAGTCAGTACTACTGATTGACAGGAACACTGGACACTGTATGAGGACTGTTTATACATCTGACGGAGTAGAACCTTTGTGTATCAGTCTACATGAGGACGGTACCTTCTGGGTAGGACACAGGGACAGGAAAATAAAGATTTTCCAGTATATAAGACAAGTTACCGTCTAAATAACTTATGTGTAATATGTTTTTACATTAATATACCGGTGTATTATACAATAAAGCTGCCCTCTGGTCGACGACGAATATCAGGCAAACAGATTCCAACCACTGTGATTCTGAACGAGTTTACGTCATTTTTTTGCTCTACATGTCGTACAGGTCTTACTGGTGACGAGACTTGGTTATCGTACTGTTACAAGAGGCAGCGTGTACGAGAGGTCAAAGTCCTATCGACCTCCGTTTCCCTAACCACGTACAGGGTTTGGTTCTGTGTGTGTGACGACCAGTGTCCCGGAAATCAAAGAGAATTGTGACGTTGTCAATGAGCAGACGAGCGGTGTCAGCTGGAGCGGGAGGTCTTTGTAGACAAGTTGCCTTAAATCCTCATCACATGACGTCATATAAACAGACCGATGACGTAGCTGATAGTGATGGCGTGTCGTATGATAACCACATGGCGGGTAAGGAACCAGACAAACAACCGTACGTCATCGTGATGGATAAACACCTCAACCTTAAGTTTCACTGTAAAGACTTCAGTACGACGAAGTTTTTTGCCCTTGTGATGTTTGCTTGGTGGAGCTGGTGATGTTCTTGTAACGTGGCTGTGTGTATTTCCACTTCAGAAAGTAAAATGTTTATCAAAGATATATCTTATCGAAATAAATATGTCTTCAAAGGAATTATGTGTATACAACAAGTATACATTAAAGCAACACCATAGGACAACTCCTCAGTACGACAAGCCTTCAAACATTTGAACACATGTAAATGTAACTGTTATTTAAGAAACTTAACAAGCAAATGGCCCTGGGTGTTCATGGGATGATAAACCCAGCAGTGAAATTCCTCATGATCTGTTTATGTTTACTTTTAGAGAAATTAATTTGTGAAACTTAATGTGACTAAGTATACAAAAGCAGACCGTCAAACAGCATCAAGAAGATGCTTACAGTGACGTCTGCCACTATGAACTAAGATAAATTTCTTATTTGTGTATATACGGTTATAATGTAGTAATTTGATTTTCCTTCCTTATATGACTGTGGTTTACATAAGCTTCCATCTTGTATATGCGATTTGTCACTAATCACGTTTTTCATATTATCTCACCCATCAAACAGACTAAGACTCGTCTTATAAACCACAGGCATATCAAATGGAACCTCATGTAGGATTCTTTTTCAACATTTTCTTGTCTGAATGCAATTATGTAATGTAAAGGCAAATAAGTACCCGGATGTTCTCTGTTTATGTACTCTTATCTTTTGTAACACGTTTCTGAACCTACGCCCGTCTTATCAGTATAATAAATGTGTAATAAAGGTTGTACAAAAGACACGCAAGTGAATAGCACCTTACAATGATTAAGAGTTAGATACAGTAGAGTCAAACAATGAATTAAACAGCACAATACAGCGATTTTGTCCTAGGTCTAGTCAATGGTGTTAAGGGCCTTAATTTTGAAGCTTAAGAGGAGATTAAGGGAAATCCAAAGTGATCGAAATGAAATATAAAATCTAGAGGTGCAGCTGTCCCATGATTAAATAAATTTCAAAATTTTCATATATCGGATAATTTTAAGTTAATGCGTATTTTCTGACCTTGGCACTATTCGAAAGGCATAACATACTTATCACGCTCGATGGCAAGGATGGGAGCAAGCAGATGGTATTACTGGTTGTGTAGGCGACTTCCTACCATTTAACATCCGTCGAAATGTGACATTATACTCTAGATTTGAGATTTGTACAGTACTTTCAATGTAATATTCCAATATGGTCGCCCGATAGCCATTTCGATTTGTTATAATCAGTCCTGAATTCAAAAGCGACCAATCCGAGACCTAGGCAACCAACACATGAAATTTGAGAACGATTCCTTTGTATTTTTTCATGGAAGTGATAAAAAAAAAAACTGTCAAAATCCCTTTCTGACCAGTCCAATACACAACTAGGAGACATTGGGAGCATGCGTAAGAACTTTAAGAACAATACATCCTGTACTGGTCAAGAAAAAGGAATTTAACTGTAAAAATATCCGCGTCTGATGATGATCGCCCATAATGTTGTATTTGGATAGTTTCTGGAATGACAATACACTCCCATGAGCCAATGAGAACCTGCAAACACGAGAGTGAAACTGACGAATGCTCACCAAAATCCACGGTGTTGGAAACAATATTTCAACAAAAGAGAATAATTCTGTAATTGCAGCAGTGAATATGGAGCACTGAACATCCTAGTTCCAAGGCCAAAGCATACATTAAGGTTTATCGTCCTAGATTATATGAAAGCAAAGCTATTCTACAGTCTTCGGAATGGGCACTAACTCTTAAATGAAGGGGTTCCATGCCCTAAATTTGATACAATGCTAATCGTTTCATGATATTTCAACACAAAGTTTCATTATCCTTGCTGAAAGGAAAGGAAAGTTATGCTCTGGACTAATTTGTGTTATAAAGGACAATAACTCTGTAATTCAGGAGTTGTGGGCCCTGAATTTGGTACACATATACGCACCAAGTTTCATCATCTTAGTTTAAATGCAAGCAAAACTATGCTCAAAACTCTCATTTTAATCAAAGGGTCATAATTCTGCAAATGAGGAGTTACATGTCAAACATTGTGTAGTTATGACCAATGTATACACAAAGTATGATGATAATTGCTGAACTCTATTCAAGGTTTTGCTCTGGTCACAAAAGAATGGATGTAAAGATGGACAGGCCGATGGACAACGCAGAGTATATGCGCACACAAAAGTTTTGGGAGCATAAAAAACTATATAATCAATCCAGATACCTTTAAGAAATGGCTATTACAAGAATGATTCATGGATGAACTGATAATAAAAGACAATTTTATGATATAGTGTGTTTAAATAGCACAGAAAATCGGATGTTTGTGTCAGTAGTTTATTGCATTCACCACAGTGACGGCTTTCAAGTCAAGTACAAAGTATACAAAATAACAAATACAGTTCTCCACAGGGAAGAATCAACAATAACAACAGCACCATTTGACATTCACCGCTCTTCACACACACAAAACAATTCTATCAAACAGCATTACCCTAATCAGACATCACAAAAGAGATTTTGACATCTTTAGAATTGTCACAAACTCCCAAAATCACGTGAAGACATGGCAGTTTATATAATTCATCACATTACAGCTAAAATAATCCTGCCTTAATAAACAGCGACAGTAACCACCATCTACAAAAAGAGCTTTTCTAAAAGTTATAACTCTATAGATTAAATTAAGTGAAACAGATTTTAATTCCAAGCTATTACAAAGCACCTTTACAAAATTTATATAGAGTCCCATTATCAAGTGAAAGAATGCATTTGATGTTATAGCTGGTATTTTCTACTTCAATTTTCAAGTTTATTGAGAATAATTTTCCTTTCCACACCAATGTGTATAAGGTGGAGACTGTGTGAACTTACTCTTGTATCATACAGACAAACATGTACATAACTTCTAGATTAAAATCGCAAGACCCAAAAAATATCACTAACCCTGAACTTGTTTCTAATACTTCTTTTTTTATCCATACTGTATTTTGTGACTGAATTGAAAATGAAATACAGTTTAAACCAAGATGTTAAAGCTGAAGCAGAGCTGTTGATTGTATTTTTAGGTCATTCAAAATATACAGGCGAAGAAAAAATGGGGTGAATAATTTCCAATACGTTGTTGAATTGTCAATAGGCCGTTAAGATCATCGGACTAAAACTCTCAGCAAGGAAAAGGATTGTTGTTTTCCGCTTTGAATGAAATGTTACTAAGGAGCTGTTTTCCATGATGCAGATGGTGAGGAGTAGGTAACTGTAACAAGTGTTACCTATTTTTGACAGTAAAGTTGGAGATCAATCCAACTGGTAAAACATGAGAAGTTTGAAATAGGTGTTGCTCAGGAAAATGGTCTCCCTAGCTGCCATATCGAAGTTTTGACAAGGTTGAAAAATAACAACACTTTGTTGGCTTCGTTTTCTTAAACTTCCCGCTAATTTTTAGCTCGATGGCACCAGTGGAACTGGAGAAGAAGTTTAAAATATGTTTTTCAAGATGGCAGCCATGACGACCATCTCGGGATTCGGATATACCCAAAAAATAACAATACTTGGTCAGAACCACCTCAGGATCATTTCAAGCAAGTTAGAGCTCAATCCCACTGGTGATTCGTGAGAAGAAGTTTGAAATAGGTATTGCACAGGAAAAATTTCCCCCCTCCAAAGGAGGAAATGTGAGACCATGTGGTCATAAATTATACAAATCTGGTAAAGCATCTTATGACCTTTCCATATATGAATAGAATTTGTTTCTATCATTCCTGGGTTTTGTAAAGAAGATTTTTGAAATTTCAGTCAATTTTCCCTATTTTTGGCCGCATCCAACAGTCCCTGGGGGTCAGTTGAGGTCAATGTGTGCCTCTCATTAAACTGTCACCTTAAATAATAATATATATTCATGTTTGAACTCTTTCCAATAGAAAATAAACAAATAATGTTCAAATATCAGTTGTAAAACTTGGCATCCATTACAACTGTATGTGCTCTTAATTGAACAGTATCTTAATATCAATAACTTCTGTGCTGAAGTCATTGTGCTAATTCAAGAGCAGTAAACATACATCTACAATGATTCTGCATAAAATCATTATTTTAACACAAATTCAAGATCAAATTTCTGAACCTGTTTTCTGAGATTTCCTTTCTAACAGACAAGGTATGCAGAGCCTTTTAAAAAAAAAAAAAAAAAAAAAAAACATTGTTGATGAACTTGGTCAGTTTGCTTTATCTGTGAAAACGATCTGCCATGGGCAGGGAGCATGGACCAAATTTCTGAAAACCTTTTTCCTGTTACTTTCTGTTACAGACAAGATATGCAGAACTTTATTTTCTTAAATACACTGTTGGTGAACTTAGTCAGTTTTACCTGTAAAAACATGGGCTGGGAGTGTTAAACCCTACATCTCTGTCCTTCACTTGTAGTTAGAAAGGCTATACTTACCATCCTATTTCACCCCATAGTGATTTATAGTGCCACCATATTTTGAATAATATATGACATAACTTTTATGATCACTTAAAAAAAATCAAAAGCAATTTTGTAGATAGAAGTCATAGATAACTAAAATTGAATTCCAACTACAACTGGTGGAAATATCCTTCTGTCAGACATGTTGGTAAACTTCCTCTTAGAATCACAATTTATCACAATGACGCTGCAAACACATCATCCAAGCGATGATGAATCACTTTCTAACAACTTATCGTCTTCCTCTCTATTGTCATCTGAATTTTCATCGTCAGCATCACTGTCTATTTTTAGGGAAGATTGTGAGTCCTGTTCATTATGTGCTGATTGACTGTTGCTATGGAGATTGGTGTCAGAATTTAACACCATACCTTCACTTGACACTGAAAACAAAGTAAGGAGATGAGTGAAGATATTTTTAATGAGGATATCAAGCACTTATAAAATTAATGTTTTCCATCTAAATCTGTTCACAAAACATGAAGAAATCGTTCTATAAATAGATGTTCTATAAATGACCAATCAAAGACATTGGTCACCAAATCAATGTTTAAACAGACATTAGAATGAAGAAACATGGTGAGTTAGAGCTCTCATAGATATATTCCTGAACCACAGTGGCCACAGAAGACCAAAAATAATACAAAATTCACTGATTTAGGAAATGAGAGCAACTTATTGATGCCAAAATTGCAGAGGTGACTGATTGTTAGCGTTCAGGAATTACTCGGATCTCAGGAATGAGACAAAGTATATTTCCTTGTGTGAAGCTGTAACAACTGTTGTTCCTTTTCAGGTGATTTAAAACTAGGAGTTTTGAAAGGTATATATCAGTGGTATTCATTAACGGAATACAAGTACCAGGTATAGTGACCGATTAAAAATTTCTATGAGCTATTCAAGTAAAACATTCATCTGACCCCAGGACTCTAAATAAGACAGTTCTATCCCTGGTGTGGTATCCTGCCTTATTGCTTCTAAGCAAACTATTAATTAATTTCTACCCCTGATACCTCTACACCAAAACCTGAAACCCAAGGGTGGGATAGAGATTTTACTCCAGTAGTCATAATAAAAGAGCGATTTAAAAAATTTACATGTTTCTAAACTAAGACACAGACAACTCAAGTTAGTTTGTGTCAGAAGGAACCAACCAAACTGACTGAATATATGAATTATCGATTTAGAAACTGATTCTTGTCACTACTAATGGCCAATAATACAGAGTTAAGGCCCCTGTCACCTGATGTTGTGAGAGCCTGACAGGAAAGAAAAAACACTGAATCAATGCTACTTAAATAACATATAGGTATGTGATTTGACAACACCTAACTATGGTCATTCACAATTTTTTTCTAAAAAATTTACTGTCAAAATGAATAGTAACTATAAAGAGCATCTATTGTGTCACCAAGATCACTCATAACAACAATAGAAAAATGCATGATCTCTTAAGAATAGAAAAGTTTGAACTACCACTGGACAGAAAATAGTCATCATTGAAAATAACACTTTTGAATTACCGGCCTATTTTTTTTTTGGACTGGAGGTTGAAAGTATATGTCAATTTATTTAGTAACCTGAATATACCTGTATCTTCTATCACAGTGCATGTCCTTTTATCTGTCATGATTAATTTTTTATTGTTTCAGAATTTTTTTTTTTACATCATTATAGATCTTCCAGGCACCAAAATAGCAAGCTTAAATAAAACTTACATGATTCATTAAAGACAAGTTGATTTTCTGAAGTTATCTCGCCTTTGGCCTGTGAAGCACCACCTGGGAACTGTGGTTGGATGTTTGCAATACTGTCAGGCCAGAATCTTTGCTGAACTGGTCGGTGTTGGGTCTTTGGTTTTTTAGCCTTTCCCTGCTCAGGATTACTAGCATCTAACATTGGTTGTAAAATTCTTCGTCTCGCATTTATAAACCTAAAATATGAAATTAGAATTAATTCATGCTTTAGTGATCAAAACTCAGAATATTTTTATTTATGAATTACCTCAAAGTTGTTATTTTTTGGAAAATTGCATCATAATATTGAGAATTACTGTACATATTTGGAAAACTGTGGTTAAAATTTAAATATCAAAACTACTGTTTCCTAATTCAATTTTCACCTCATATTAAAAAATCAGTATTTTAATCGTTAAATAGGAAGTGTACAAGTCATCAAATTTATTCAAATTACCAGATTATGAAGCTTGAATGAAGCGATGCTCCCTTTGAGTCAATCTAACATGTTTCCAGTGTAAAATACAAACATAAAATCATTACCTATCACTATGTAGGGGCCCTGTGATATTGGACAAACATTACCTATCACTATGTAGAGGCCCTGTGATATTGGACAAACATTACCCATCACTATGTAGGGGCCCTGTGATATTGGACAAACATTACCTATCACTATGTAGAGGCCCTGTGATATTGGACAAACATTACCTATCATTATATAGGGGCCCTGTGATATTGGACAAACATTACCTATCACTATGTAGGGGCCCTGTGATATTGGACAAACATTACCTATCACTATGTAGGGGCCCTGTGATATTGGACAAACATTACCCATCACTATGTAGGGGCCCTGTGATATTGGACAAACATTACCTATCATTATATAGGGGCCCTGTGATATTGGACAAACATTACCTATCACTATGTAGGGGCCCTGTGATATTGGACAGACATAAAATCATTAACTACCACTATGTAGGGGCCCTGTGATATTGGACAAACATTACCTATCACTATGTAGGGGCCCTGTGATAATGGACAAACATTACCTATCACTATGTAGGGGCCCTGTGATATTTGACAGACATAAAATCATTACCTATCACCATGTAAAGGCCCTGTGATATTGGACAAACATTACCTATCACTATGTAGGGGCCCTGTGATATTGGACAAACATTACCTATCACTATGTAGGGGCCCTGTGATATTGGACAAACATTACCTATCACTATGTAGGGGCCCTGTGATATTGGACAAACATTACCTATCACTATGTAGGGGCCCTGTGATATTGGACAGACATACAATCATTACCTATCACTATATAGGAGCCCTGTGATATTTGACCAAAATTAATCTATTACTAAAATTAATAGAAAGGCTTTTACCAGTTGTTGACTTGTAGGAGGGTTAAGTTTGTCTGAGCTGCTATCTGTCTTTTCTCATCTTCTGTTGGGTAAGGGTGCTGTAACATAAAAAATAACCGATATATATATATATATATATATATATATATCTGCCTTACCTCATCCTGTTTTGGGTAGGGGTTGCTGTAACAAATACATTCCTGATATATATGTTATCTCTTTTTTTCCCTTCTGTTGCTGTAAAACAAACCCTTTTGTTAATTGAAACAGTATTTCTTTTGCAATAGTTAGAAATTTTCAGCCTAAACAGAAAAGCACAGGTGTTGCTTGAATCCAAAACCTAAAAGATGAAAGATCTAAATCTGGGGATTTAAGCATGCTGTTTTACAATGTTTACTTATGTTAATTTGAAACAAAATCAGATTACCATCCTTTAAACACCACGAGTCACCTTGAGTGTTCTTTTCAGAATTTAGAAGCTACCTCACTGAACAAAATATGAGGGGCTTCTGATATGCCATACATAGTTATTGTGTTGTCTTTCCGAAGGATATAATCACTCCAGCACAGGAAAGTCTGTGAACTCATTGTTAGGGGTGCAGATTAACAGTCGCCCAGTCGCCTAATGCGACCAAATCATTAGGTTGGCTACTGAATGTTATTACCTCATTCGCCCACTTGGTGATTGGATTTTCAATTTAATTATCTATGTTTCTGTTTCTGAAAAGTTAATTCAAGTGATCTCATCACAATCAGAAATTATTTACGAAGTATTTAGCCTAGTTAAACGGCAATAATCACAGTCGTATCATGCTATTTCAAACCGGGAAGCGTAAACATTGCAGTGACTCAGATTCCTCATATTATGATAAAGCACCATGCTGACACCGATTAGAATCCACGCCATTTGTAAACATGGCATTTGATGGTTGTTTTCATGCCGGTCTAATACTAAGGTCGTGATCCGGAATGTGGCGGTATCTAAAGGGGGTTTCAAACCCCCAAAAATCACAAACTGTGGGAGAGAAACATAAATATTATCTGAACTACAACAAAAACAAGCATTCCAGATCTTTCAATGAAAAATGGTGTGCAGACCAGCCATCTGGGCTCCTGAAATTATGATTGGGCTACTAACTTTTTTATCTTAGGGGCCCAGCTGGCCCCCAGCATTAAAGAGTTAATCTGCACCCCTGAATGTACTTTAGATAATATGTATCCACAGCTCTAATGACAGCTATCTTGACCATCTTATCAAATTGTCCATATATAATTCCCTCCATTTCCCATCATATGCTAATCTAAAACTTACCACTATATGTTGAAAAAGCCAGGATTTCATGATCTGTGTTGCAGATTTTGGTAAAACTCCACGTTTATTTTTCTTCTTTCCCAAAATGTCATCTCCATCAGAATCACTTAGCAATGCTGACTGCATTGAGGATTGTTGTGAAGAAACTGTGAGCAAACACACCTTACATTTTATCACAATTTTACTCTTTTCAATATTCACTTAAATGGAAAATCTTTAATATGATACAAGAGAATTACTCTCCTTGCTTTCATGGCTAATTTTCATCCATGAATTCATAAATGTCCACATTTTTTAAAACAAAGAAAACAGGAAAATTTAACCCCACAAAAAATTATTAGTTTTCAGTACAAATTTTCTTTATGGCAATGATTAAGAATATCTTTTCTTTCTAAACCACAGCAAATCAAGTGACTGTCAAACTGACGACCACCATTATCTTCCTAACTTACCTGTCTGGGCCTGAGTGACTGGTGAACTGACCATGCCTATCTGTGACAGTGGTGTACTGCCATGAATGACAGGTGTGGCTGTAATTTGTGGCTGTACTGGTGCAGTATGGATCTGTAAAAATATGTATTTAACCTCATTCTTTATTTGAATTAAGAAAACAAACCAATTTGGCATTTACACCTGACTGATCATGAAATTTCTAAAATGTTCCTCTTTTGTCTTCTTAAAACTGCATTATAAAATTATATATGGAACTTCCATTATTCTTAAACCTTCAGTTTAATCATTAAAATATGCTGCTCATATGGGTCAAATTTTCTCACAAAATGAAACAGAAAGGCCCCTGCCTATATTGACAAGAGAAGTTAAAATTGTGTACCTGTATGGGTTGGGCTACAAGTCCCTGTGGAGTCTGTACCATCTGGTAAACTGTCCCACCAGACACTATTTGACCTTGGTTCAAGGTCGCCATGGCAGGTTGTGCCATGCCAGGTTGTATCATTGTCAAATTGTTAGCCGAGTTCACCACACCGGAAGACATAACTTGTTGCATAGGTACTGAAGCTTGTCCAGGGGGAGATAACTCCTCTGGAGGAGGGTCATCAAAGTCTGAGTCTATGCGTAACAACTGCTCACTCTGTAGTTTACCTTTCAAACAGGCAATGTAACGATTGCAAAAGTCTTTACACAATTCTGTCACTTTCTCCAGTTCTAGTAGATGTATTCTTAATACCTGTATAGCCTTCACCATCTGTAACAAACAACAAGTGTGAAACGTCAACTTCAAAACATGCTGGCACATATCATGTCTGGAGTATTTAAAGAAACATCAAACATCAGTTTGAAACATGCAAAGAAATATACATAACAAATATCACACAAACAAAAGAAATTATGTCTGAAACCAGAAAATATCATGGCTCAAACATGAAGCAAATATTGTGTAAATATCACATTTAATATCCAGTGTAAACAAATGCGGCCAATGTAATTACACAGCAGACCCTTATGAAAAGGAATAAATTGCTTTCAGATCACCAAACAAAATCAAGATTATTATATGATGTCATTTCTGTCATAAAGAACTTTTTTCAAATAGTGATTTTATATTTGAAATATCACTTGCTATTTGCCAACAAATTCAGTCTTATATCGTTCACATTTTACTTTTTGAGATCTGATTTTCCAAACCTATTTACTAACCAGAGCATCAAGTTCAGGGTCCTCGCTAAAGAAAGGCTTGCGATCTTTTTCCTGGTGGTGAACAAAGGCTTGAATATCAACATCAAAGCTGTCTGAACTAGGACAGTCAGATGTCTGTGATGCTTGCTCACATTTCTCAAATAACAATGCCATCAAAGGAAACAAGGGGTGCCTGAAGGGTGCAACACAAGATATATTATACAATTCTTTCAAGATATACTTGTGGCGAAAGGGGGATAACTCCATGATATACATCTAGTTATATACAATCTTTCCAGTTGTAGTCCATTCATACTATTTATGTCTGGCATGCCATGAATGTAATCATTGAGAACTTGAAAGTAGATTTTAAAACAAAATATTGTTACCTGGTTGTTCAATTTTCTTACTACTAAAGACTATTTAAGCCATGACTTTTTCTTTTTACTTTGTAAATACTAACAAGAAAACAGAAATGTAAACATTCGTCAACCAACCTACCCTACATTTTTCCTTCATGGTTTTTAGTTTTTTGAGGCCTGACTTTATGTTTTGAGTCTCGAAATTTGTGAGAATATTTACTCTAGATGTAGAATTTATATTGAAACACTTGGATTTTGAGTATGAAGATTATTGTGTTTGTAGTTTAGATACCTACCCATAAATAGCACGTTTTTCACCTTCCGAGTTGACATCTCCTTCCTTTGTAATGACCGCAGGGCTGTTGACAAGAAAAAGGAATGCATTTCGTAATATGAATATATAGTTACCAGTACATTTATATGTATAAAATAAATTGCAATTGTGCACACAAAAACATGCTTCAGGATTTCTTTAGAGAATTTCTATACAGGTATGATTTACGTTGACAAAACCCCAGTTAAAACATGATATAATACAATATAAATGACTGTCTTATGTAACATGTTAAAAGGTTAGACCAATAACCAGTAAATAGCCACTTACTTGTTACTGTCTGAAGGAGCTGAGGAGACAATTGTGCCAAGAACCTGAACGTCTGTGAAGGATGGCACCAGTCCTGGCTGTACGACAGACATGGCTTCTCACATCCCTCTCTCTGGTCTCTACAGATGAATCAACATAAACAAACGTATTAGTCCTACATAGTCCTATATAGTAACACTGATTTAATAGCATTAAGTCATGGCTGTACGCTGTTTTCACCAGCAGTGATTCTAAGTCATTAATGCTTTCTGAAACTTTCAAGATTAAAAAGGTAGATGAATTTTTTTATCACATATACAGCATATCCTCAGACAGGGTTTTCTATAAGAGCCGGTCGCCAGCCAATTTGATCGGCTACTTTGATCATTTGGCTGCCTACACCAATCCAGTTCCGTAATAATGTTCCGTACACGGCAGGTCAGCCTACTACTTTCACTACACAGCCTACTACTAACAAAATTATGGAAAACCCTGCTCAGAATTTCAAAGTATTCATCAATCTCATTCCAGAATCATCATTACTGCAGTTTCATATATTATCCAACTTGAAGGATAATCCATATTTAAAAATTGATAATGATATTATTGTTATTCCCATCAGTCTGAATATTGAAGACTTCAGATTATTGTCTTTCATCAACTGCATGGTTACGCTCACTATTGTTCTATGCACGTGCGCTCTTGAAAGCTATTTCAGGACAAAATCAAATCTCATGTGCGGCACCTTGTGGATAAGATGAAGGGATTGTTAGCAGTCGTAATGTTGAATGTAAGGAATGTTAGTATGAACATTTAAGACTAAACGTATGTGTGTAGGTGTGTGTACATGTATTTCATAGTCTGGAATATGAGAAGTCTGAATGATGTGTGAAAGTATGAGAGCCCTCCTGTGTGAGGACACATTTGTAATCTTATGTATGTCTCGTCTTAGTCAATAAAATGTTTGAAAAAAAAAAAAAAAAAGATGAAGGGATTATTTGGATCCCTTCATGTACATAAACAAATTTCGAGATCACATAGCGCTATGTTGTACAGCCTTTGAATTTGGATGTAACCTTTCTGTAATCTCAAAAGAAGGATATCTGTCTGATTTTTTTTCTCTCTTGAAATCTGCTCTCGACCAATTAAATAACTTCAATTGCAAATGCTTCAAATATTGTTCGGAAATGTTTCAGAGGTGCTGCGAGCAAAAGTAACTGTAACCCGTGGAGTATCAAGAATGATGCCTCAAGTAAAAGGAGTGATAGTTAACGTAACCCCTCGATTAGCGGAATATTTGTCTTTATGAAAAAGTAATTTTTACTAAAATTATTCAGTCCAATAAAGTCTCATTTATGTGGTCATACAGCATGCAGGTTTTAAAAAAATGATATTAATACTTGAAAATAAAGAAAAACACATATAGTTTCATTTTGGTAACAGTATTTCAGGATTTTTTTTTTAAAACACTAATCTTTATTTTTTAGTAGTACATCCAAATTTAGAAATCCAAAATATTTCTAAGAATGACATATATGTATAGAGAGACACAAATTTATTATATATCTGTGATATTGGCCTATGTGTATGTTTACACATAAATACTGTTTAAATTTGCATTTTTTTTTCCAAATGCCTAATGTTGATTTAAATGCTATAAGGGTTATATTTAAACATGCTATAAATTAAACTGAATTTTGAAAATCAATCAAAGCATCCGAGAAAAGCTTAACATTTTGGCCGAATATATTTTCATGAGGAAAGTTAACAAAAAACTCAATAAAATCAGTTCTGATAGCAATAATCAGAAATAAAAACCAAAATTAATTTTGTTACATATTAGTGTAGTTATTATAATTATTCATGATACAGAATTTAATAATAAATAGAGCGGAAATAAAATCTATTGTTACACTTCAGTGAAAATACACAAGTATATTCAATGTTGATTTAATTTTTATATCAGATAAACAACAAAGATGAATTTCAAAATTCAAGCTACCTCAAAAATGAGTTACCTCATAAATAGGTAATAAATTTGAAAAGATCTTTTAATTAATATGGATCATGTAAGTTTGATGTTTGAACTATACATAGATCTAGTTTTACAAATATTTTTTTTAAAAAATAGGCCTAGTCTATCACACAAGTCACATGACCTAATCTGTAAAAATAGACTTCAATAAATTATACATTGGCCCAAGACTCGACATTAATCGACAATCACGACGAGAAATACATGATATAATATTAATATGAAGACGTCCGTCATCCAAAGTAGTTTACTAGGTCAATTCCAACACCCTTAGCCCAAGCTATGCACAATGAGACGGCAACGTAAATCGGGCCATAAATAAACACTGCAGCAATGCTTATCTACTTTGCCTGATAAATTCATTGTTTTGGGGCGTACTGAAACCATTTACATCATGTTCTGAAGACATCAATCCTGTACTGTAACAAGTCGCATTTGGGGATGTGCCAATAACGAACAGGATCGCCCAGTCGGATTCTAAACCCATCAATTTATAAACGGAAGTCTAATTCGACTTGAACATTTCCACCGCGAAACAAAACATAAATTAGTTCTTAAAATGTCATATGAAAGCTACGCAGCATTTCAAATATCCTGTCATTATTGAATTGGGGAGTAAATCTAAATTTCGAATATGAACATCCTGCGGTATTTGTTTCCCCGTCAAACCGCGCAGACACGTTATTGACAGCTTACCTTGCTCGCAGACAGTGTCACTCTTCGTCAAAATGGCGGGCATCAATTAGGAATACTGCCCACCCAGTCACGTGAGTTATGACGTCACTCAGCTTACAGCCTGCAAGGTGCGAGCTTCTTCTGTCCGATTATAAGCAATTCTCGCTGCAATTTTTTGTATTTTTGCAGCTAGGTTGGTTATAAACTTTTAAGTGATGATGCCCGGCTATTAATTTATTAATAATCAGTGCAAATTTAGTCACATTTGGACGAAAAGCGTCGATAACTGCTGACGGGAGACCGATCGCTGTGTCCTGCCCCTGAACTCTGACAGTTCACCGATCACCTGACGAGACGGGAGATAGACATTTCTGTCTGCCGACAGAATGGGGGCAAATTGGGTCGGAAAACATGTAGCCGAGCTTTAATGTTATAGACTGGGACGACGGATCTGTATTATTTTCAGAATATTTTGAGTTTTCGGGTTTAGATAATATCAACTTTAATCTTAATCCAATGACAAGTGTCCTGTAGACCCGCTGAGGAGGGTACCAACCCATTGATTTATGACAAATGATGACAATATGATCGATCAAGAGACTGCCCTATTTTTTGGGGCCCTCAAATGGGGGAATTCCAGCCAATGTTGGGGGGAAAACTCCACGTTGACTAGAGCATTAGTTGTTTATTTACAAAACAGTAATTCTACTATTTATTTCTTCAACTCACAGGAGCTGTTGGACATTTATGTGATTTTAAAAGAGAAAATAAATTATGATAAGTTAGTGGAGAATAAACAAGTTAATTAAGTCAAACACCAACAATAACAACCCAATTGTTTATTCTCAATTAACTTGAAATATTTTATATCATATAAATGATAATAATAAAAACACATATCAACAGGCACATGATTAAATTAACTTACAGGACATTGTAAATCAATTTGATATTATTGATAAACATATTGATGATTTTAAAAGAAAATTATATATATATATTTTTTTAATTTGATTTGTTTGATAAACGATACATTAAAACTTGTTATTCATGGTTTTTTAATTTATTTATCTCGCAGTTAAAGTTGAGTTAGTGATCCGCAGGGTAGAAATAGAGCATTTTTATCCATGCAGAACATTTAGTTGTTGTTCATGTAGGTATTGTAAAAATTTTTGAAGGGCTTGAAAAATTGAATTGGAACTTGTACCCTGTTTTACAATTTCAAATCCAGTTACCAGACAGGTTTGGAAAGGGTTAAGGGCCAAACAGGTGATATCCAAACAACTTTGTACAGACTGTCAATTGATTTTTCACAAGCACATTTTTCTTAAAAACTACATTCATCTTTATCAATTAATTGATAAGTAATTCCTCATTATTATCAACACAATATAAATATTTCAACAGGATCATATTGTATTTGGAACATTGCATTCCGAAATGATATATACCCGTATTTTTTTAATTTCAAATGTAAATTTTCAATGGTTTAACTAATGGATACTGATTGTTAATAGGTCAGTGAAGCTCAGATTCAGCTGTGTAAAAAAGTTTATATGGACTGCTCTGTGTGAATTAAATAAAAATTGTATTTCTAGTTTTCAATTTTTGGCAGAAGCTACCCCAGGTATCTGGAAGTACCAAGAATAATGTATCTATTCAAATACTTGAGATAAAAATATTTATAAAGTTGATTTATAAGACAGTGTTGTAGATTTATTTTAGATGGATTGCCTTTTTGATATTTTTGGATTGAAAATGCATTTTGTTCAGAAATATAAGAAGGAAAAATACACAACACATGACTGTATCACCCACAGGTGTTGCACAGTGCACTTAAATGAGGTCCCTGTGACATTTATCTCAAGAAGTGTGATTTTCAGAATTATAAAATGTCAAAGGTGCCCTGAAGCTTTGAATTTAAATTTCATCCCCAATAGACAGTGTGTGCTGCACTAAAACGAGGTCACCATAACCTACACCTTAGGGTATAATTGGAATTTATAAGAATTTGTGCAAGAAATATATTAATGAGCTTGAAATATCAACACAACACACAACACATCTAAATGCATGTGCAGTCCACTGATAAGATGTCACATCACCCTACCATTCATCTCAAGATCAAATTTTCTTTCCCTGAATTTTTTTTAACCAGTTTAAGATACTGGTGCTGAATCTAATATAGAAACATTTTATCACTAGCAGGCATTGCTTATTACACTGTTAAGTCACAGTGACCTTCAGCTGTTCAAATTATAAAAATAGAGGCATTTTTTCTGACAAAAGTCTTAAGACAAGTCACCTGATCATCAGGTCAGAGGTCAAGGTCAAATATATTTTTTACACTGGTATGTCAATATTTAATAATAAATTGTGAAGTAAAACTCATCAAATTCAGTTGAAAAGTCACTCAACTTTTTAACACAATTAAAGTGATAAAAGCCAGATCACATAATCGTATAAGATATTGTGTTGTAGAATTATTAAGAAACCTGTCCATAATAAAATTAGTGCATGCTCTGAGGTAAGAGATCAACTTTTGTATCCTTCAACTGATAAATAATTTGCTATTATAAAATAAATTACATGTGGTTGGAGTTTAATGATGAGTCCTAAATCTTATATGTACTTTCAAGATTGTTCCTTATAATTTTTTTCAATTTAAAAACAGGAAATATTCTTTCCGCAAATAGGGGAAGACATATTTGTTTCTGTTAAAAAAAAAAAACAAAATTCCTAGTTTTGCATTGTACATCATTTCCACTACATTTAGAGAAAGACAACTTGAAAAAAAACTACGGTCATTTTAATGGTTACCTGGTGAAAATATTTTAAGTAATGTTGGTGATATTGAACTTGTCAGTAGATATTGAAACGGTACACAAAATGTAAACAATTTCATGCCCTTGTCATCCAAATTGGTTGTCAGATGAAGCAGTTGCTGAAGAGTGTACTGCCTTTGGCAACTTGGGTTCACATCTTGAATCAAGACAGGAAAAGGTACGGAATCATTAATCTGATTATCTGACCATTCCTCCTGTGGTCATGTTCTCCTTGCCCGCACACCTGGGCCAACATTGATGTAAAGTGCCTTTCAAAATTGTTGTAAAATAACTAAACGTTTGTAATAGTGATAGATCAAAGTTGTGTAGAACAAATGATTTTGTCTCCAAAATGTTCAATGTTTGAAAAATATTTCAGGACTTTGCTGCTGAAATGTATTTCATCAGGCTAGATGAATATCAGCATAAAAGTAATGAAATATGACACAAAATGAAAGGGTTTGGAAATAAAAATGATGAAATATTGCATTTGAGGAAATGTTAAAACAAAACAAGATTTGCACAGTAAAAAGTGTAAACATGTTATTGATATAAACTCATTTCAAAATTATAGAGTCAAGAAATGTTAAACTCTTGTTTGTTGAGAGTTATAAATGCAGTATGCTGGACTTATCTCCCTAGCAACCAATGGAGACAATGGTGTATATAACACGGAGAAGATACCAGGGGAGGTAATCCAAGATACCCAGAAATTTTTGACATTAGTTTATTTGCTCTCTGCATTTCATTACCCCATTAACTGCCAGGATCAGTTGAAGGGAGGATTCTCTGTGTAGTAGTTCGTAGCGACCTCACTTAACAACATAAAGGAAGTCCATTGCATACTATTCAGAGCAAAAATGTCTAATTCAAAGACACAACCACAACAGAGACCAGTCAGTTTCTCAGCTTCTTGAGAAAAAAAAAATTGCAATGGGATTGGGTGTTAAATCACGCATCTTGGATTTTATCTGGGGCTATGTAGATCAATCTTCTGTCATGGCATCATGAGCCATCATGGCACGTAGATATTGAAAAAATAAAAACATAACAACGTTGAGGTTTTTGATAATTTAAATATGATTTGGTAATGTGTCTGTTACACAGAATCATTATGTACAAAGATCATGGAGTCTGATTAGAGAGTTTTCACCTCCCCGGTATCAAACAATGAAGTGTCCAGTAAATCAGTATCACCAACAAATTCGTCAACTCAATCACATCCACTAAACATCAGAATTGCTTTTGTCTTCAGAAATCTACAATGGAACAAAATACAAACAAAAACAATTTTTAGAATACAATCAGAAATATCAGTCCCAAATTCTGCACGAAATTCGATAAATCTTTTGAGAAAGAGAATTAAATAAATTTTGTTTCAGAATTATTTCAGTACTTTGTAGACTTGCTTTTCGGTAACAAGAAACTTATAATGGTTAATCAGAAATTAATTCTCCTTACAGGTCCCCTAGTTTATAAAACAGCCGTCTAACAACTTCCTCCTACACAAATCCTCAATCCTTTTTTGTACACTCAGGGTCCTTTAGTTTGTATAATACCAACCTTATTTCCAACTTGTAAACAAATCCCTCATCCTTAAGTTTTATCAAATTTGTTCTGTAGTTTATGTTATACAAACCAACTATAATACCCACTCCTATACAAATAATGTCTACCTAACAACCCACTCCTATACAAATAATGTCTACCTAACAACCCACTCCTATACAAATAATGTCTACCTAACAACCTACTCCTACACAAATAATGTCTACCTAACAACCCACTCCTATACAAATAATGTCTACCTAACAACCCACTCCTATACAAATAATGTCTACCTAACAACCCACTCCTATACAAATAATGTCTACCTAACAACCTCCTCCTACACAAATAATGTCTACCTAACAACCTACTCCTATACAAATAATGTCTACCTAACAACCCACTCCTATACAAATAATGTCTACCTAACAACCCACTCCTATACAAATAATGTCTACCTAACAACCTACTCCTACACAAATCCTGTAGATTATGTATTAGGCCATCTAATTTACATTATACCAACTAACTACCTACTCTTATTCAAATCCTTTAGATTATGTACCAGGCCCTCTAGTTTACATTACACCAACTAACTACCTACTCAACTCCTTTATATATACAAATCCTAACTACCTACTCCTATACAAATCCTTTAGATTATGTACCAGGCCCTCTAGTTTACATTACACCAACTAACTACCTACTCCTATACAAATCCATGAGATTATGTACCAGGTCCTCGAGTTTACATTATACCAACTAACTACCTACTATACAACTCCTTTAGAATATATACCAGGTCCTCTAGTTTACATTACACCAACTAACTACCTACTCCTATACAAATCCATGAGATTATGTACCAGGTCCTCGAGTTTACATTATACCAACTAACTACCTACTCCTATACAAATCCTTTAGATTATGTACCAGGCCCTCTAGTTTACATTATACCAACTAACTACCTACTCCTATACAAATCCTTTAGATTATGTACCAGGCCGTCTAGTTTACATTATACCAACTTAACTACCTACTCCTATACAAATCCTTTAGATTATGTACCAGGTCCTCTAGTTTACATTACACCAACTAACTACCTACTCCTATACAAATCCTTTAGATTATGTACCAGGCCCTCTAGTTTACATTACAATGACTATCTACCTACTGCTATGTGATCTCCACCTAGCTACCTAATCTAAAAGACGACACACCATCCATAGTTGCTATCATACTAACCTAACTATTGTCCACCTACTCCTATACGAATCCTCCATCTTTAAGTTTCTGTACTAGGTCCTCTACACTCTCCACCTTCTGACCAGCCTCCCTGGTTGGTGGGTCCTCTACAGACAGGACTTCTTGACGTGGACTCACATCTACTCCGTAGTCTGACACTGACTTAACAGCCATTGGTTTCTTCTTAGCTTTCTGTATACGTGACAAATATTTATAAGAATCAAAGCTGTGTATGGACGACATCAATAGTTTCTAATTTAGCATATATTTAACAAGTATAACAGAATAACCGTATTTTTCACATGTGTGAAGCACAAGTGAAAAATATTGATAAATTTGATCACACAAGTTACATACATGTGATATTTAACAGGAAACCATTCAATATTCTTTGATGTCAGCTAGTTTGATGTCTGGCCATTTTGAATGGGTTGCTTTATTTGATATTCTACCATTTTATACTGATATGTGCTAAGAATCCCTTATCACACTATTTAACTTACAGAATTAGAGAAAACCAGAAAGGTACACAGAAATCATCTGGATAGGAATATATAGTATAAAATTGTATTTTTTGAGAAATCAGCTATAACTCACCATGATATTAGGTAGTGTGGCGTATCGTGGTTCATTGAGTCGGAGATCAGCTGTTAATACTGCTGGAATAGACACCTTTACTGTCTCTAAACCGCCATCAATTTCTCGTAAAATGTTTAACTGTCCATCCAGTTTTTCAACATTTGATACAAAGGTTCCCTAAGAATAAGGAGAAAAAAGACATAAAATTTAAGGAAACTTAATTAAATCTAAATGAGGCAGGTTCAAATTGTGATAGGGGAGATAATATCTTGAAGTATTTAGGTGGAAATAAAAACCTAAACAAAATGAAAATGATATTGTTTATATTAATAAGGTAGAAAGAGTCATTGAGTTATACAGGAGTCAAAAACAATCTCTTTGTCGATTAATTATTTTGATATTTCAAGTCATTACCAGAGTGATTGTAAAACTACCAAAAAAACCTGATTCTCTTCTAGATGACAGAGCAATACTTTCGTTTTTGATCCGAGATCAATCCATAAAGAATGGTTATGCTATCATCAGCCAACAACAAATACATGACAAGAACTAATCTAATAGATTAATTCTGATATGATTAAACTATGCACATATCAGTCTTAAACCTGATGTCAAAACTCTCTCTGTCAACATCTCTGGTATAACAGATTTCAAATGCTGACATTTTGAAATAGCAGCATGTTGGGCTCTATTGTTTTGTAAACACATGTTGTCGTCACCAATAGCAATGATGTAAACAATGGGGGGAATTGCTAACTACCCATCTTGTCATTGTAGTAATGGAATATCAACCTGCAGGACAAAATCTTGAATGTCCAATCCTCAGCAGGTTCTCCTGTTGGACATTTCAGAGTACCACAGTATCACACAGCCTCTACAGGCTAATATTACTTTGTCGCAACTCCAAGGATTCTACTTACTCTCCACCAATGACAGTTTGCAACAGATTAATAATAATACAACTTGAAGGTTATCTACATTTCTGAAGCTATATAGTGATGACTCCAAATGGCATAGTTTGTCCACCACACTAGCTACTCACCTGAGGCCAATCTAACAGACCAGCGGTCATCTGTCCAGTCTGGTTACAGTCATCATCAATAGCCTGTAAAACACAGAATAAAACTGACAACATAACATTGCAGAAAGAAGTATAAAACAATGTACAAGTTGACGATACTGATTGAAAGATAGGGTGTGAATACCATGGGGACCATAAAATTCACAATTTTGTTTCCTTTTCATGAAATTTTTCTGCGTTGAAATTGGTCCAGGGGTTTCCGAAAAGTCGAAAATGTTAAAAACTTTATGATGCACAATGCTGGACGAAAGACAATCACAATAGGTCACCATGAGACTGTCTCAGATGACCTGAAAATTCTCCGCCCCACAATTTTTTTTTATCAATTCCAAGAGTCAAATTGAAAGCAACTTGAACCAATCGCAAAGTTAAGATGAAAAAGTGTGTGTTACAAGCAGAACATCCTCGATACTCAAGGGGTTACAATCACTTTCACTCTGCACCCTTGAAACAGGTTGTGGCCAAATTGAATGTTCCCTGTGTGACACTTTTGGGATAAGAAGAAAAGACAATTTTGATCCTTTGGTGTACATCAAATGAATCGCCATGTAGCATAACAGTATATTGTAATGGCTTTGAAGGTGGATGTCACTTCTTTGTAATCTTCAAAAGGAGTGTATCAGCCGGTGATTGGCTAGTCTTTTTCTCCTGGAACCAATCAAATCACTTTGGTTGTGCCATCAATTTTGCCAAGACATGTTCCAGGGGTACAGAGAGTGAAAGTGATCGTAACCCCTGGAGTATCAAGGGTGCTAGCAGAAGGATTTGTAGGTATTATGATAGTGGCATTCAACTTTTTTCAAAAGATATCAACCCAAAACCTTAAACGATATGATACTTAGCATGCAGGCTCTTAAATACAAATGTCACCAAGGAAACTATAAACACTGTATAAATTTGACTCTTATATACTGCTGTACATTTTGTGTACATTGTAATATGTACCTACCACCAGTTAACTTACCTGTTTACCTAAAACAACCAAATCAACTTTCTCCTCAGCAGCAATCTTTGCGAGGATTTTAGACACATGGAATGGCTGCAGTGTCTCATAATCTTTTGGTTCTACTTTAACGTGAATGGCTCGATCGGCTCCCATTGCTAATGCTGTACGAAGTGTTTCCTATGTAAGAAAAAAATATGATGATGAAAATAGGATAACATTTATTATAACTCTTTCCATTAATCTTCAAAGCAATTTTGAGGCCAAATTTTATGAATTTTGATTTGTCTCACAACAGCTACAGACCTGGCTCTGTTGGGGTCCACAAGAAACAGCTATAACCTCTGATGCCAACTTCTTCTCCTTCATCCGCATTGCCTCCTCCATGGCAATCTCGTCAAAGGGATTCATGCTGTGTTTCACTCCATCTGTGACTACACCCATTTTGTCAGGTTTTACACGTACCTGGTGAGAAAATTAAGTCGCCATGATCAGGTACTGTTATAACATGCAAGTCAAAATAAAATTAATCAATTGGGGACTGTAAAAGCGCAGTTGGTAATTAAAAGACCTTGGCTGTTCAGAGGGTAAAGAACCTTGTAAACGAACAAACAAACAGCAAGGGAAGATCAATCAAGTAAACACGTAGATTGCTTTTTGCTTCATGTCAAGAGGGTGTGGGGGATTTGACAATGAGGTAGGTGAACTGTCTTAAGTGAGTGTGCAACGTCTTGGTGAAATAATGTGTTAGATAAGTATACGTATATATCCAGCTGGTCCGAATTATGCTGATGTGGTGTTAAAGTCAATAAAACGTCAGAATAATTCTGACTAGTTTCCAGCAAGATAATTGTGATCGCCTGAACAAAACAAAGTTAACACTCTAACAAATAGCTGTATCTCCAGAATCGATCGCTGAAGTAAGTATTTTGATATCTTGTCATTCACATGACATTTGAACTTAGAATGAGATGTATGTTTCCATAGAACGTGTCCACGCCTATTGCACAAATCAAATTGTAAATAACTGAAATAGAAAATGTAAAAGAAGTCCTTGTATTTGAAAATGAAACCACTACAATGAGGTTTTGGTGCTATAGTGCGAAGTTTTCCGGTCAAAAAGTTGTTACAAAACCAGGGACGTATTTACGAAACGATATTTAATCATCTACATTTCGGCGTATTAATTAAGAGAGATATATATATATATAGGTTGGTATGCAAGATTGTCCTAATGAAGTGTACTATTTATCGTATGAAAAAATGAAATCTTACTTTTACGGCATAATCTATGACTCGTTTAACACCAACTAGTATTCGTAGAGACATCTTTGCAGATCGGTCGGCAATGAGTGTGACCTTTGTTCTGAGGAAGGGACATACCATTATTGTGATATCAATATTCGAAAATATTAAATATTTTGATAAAAAACTTTTGTATAAAAATATTTTTCCTTCATAAAAATATCTTATGAATGTTTAGAAAGGGATATACTAACGATTCATATAGCTGATATTGGTACGTATTTTATTTTAAAATTAGTTGTAAATAATTTACCCTCCATTGAGTTAATATACTTTCTAGAAAAAAGAGCTCTTACACTATAAACGCTTTAATTAGACGGGCACTCCACCTTTATTGGTAAGCGTGTACATGACGTCGTACACTACACAACTCCTGCATGCAGACGATCCGAGACAGCCTCCAATAGGGGTTTTTCGCTATCTTTTTTTATTCTAACTGTACTTGATGAAGATATTTATGGTAATTTTTATTGAATGTGCTTAATTGAAGTGGAAGAAAACATAATCATTTTCACACTCGCCAGTCTATTGTCTTGTTTAGGGACATTTGCATGTAATTTACATACTTGGCAGAAGCGCGAGCTAACTACCTCGCCCTTGAGTATATTCAAAGAAACAACGTAATGAGAGCTGTTATCCATTCAGACTCTCTTTCTGCTATACAAAGTCTTAGCAATAGAAATATCGAAAACATTTTCATTCGTAATACCTTCATACTAAATCATAAACTTGCTTTTAACTTTCGTAATGCTTTTTGCTGGGTTCCTGGGCACATGGGAATACCAGGCAATGAAAAAGCAGATCGTGCCGCAAAGGAAGCTTTATTGCTACCACCTGTTGTTTTTAAACTTCATTTTACCGCTTTTAAACCATTTATCAAACAAATTTTAAAAGCTCAGTGGCAGGAGGATTGGAATACCTATACCAATAACAAATTGCACTCCGTTAAACCTATTATCGGTGAATGGTCTCCAGACTATAGAGACAACCACCGAGACGAAGTTGTCCTTACCCGTCTTCGGATGGGTCATACATACCTTACACATTCATATATGTTGAAAGGCGAAGATAATCCTCGGTGCATAGGATGTGATGAGCCATTCACTGTTAAACATTTTTTATTGGACTGCAGTGACCTTCTGTCTACTCGAGACGATTTTTATCGTAACATTACAGGTCTAAAATCCCTTTTTGAAGCTGTTGATCTATACAATAGACTATGATGTACCATTTTAATATTTTGTGTTAAAATACCCATTTAAGATTTTTAACATGTGGCTTGGAGCCTTCATACACAAGGGACTAAACTTCACATCTCAATCAAATCCTAGTGTATCAAATTCAAATATAAATTGGTATGATATAGAAAGCATCTAGCCTATTTTGTATATATTCTTACTGTAATGTGCCCAGACAGCCAGCATTCAACTTCAGCCTCTGTGGGAGGGGCTTGTTTGTTATTTTAAAGCAATTGTACATGTGCTTATATCCAGACAGTTATCTCACCAGTCAGTTCAAGATTTATGGAATTGGATGTAAAACTTGAGTGTCAAGTTGAACTTTGTTGTTAGCATATTGTGCAATAAAGATATATCACTCAGCTGACAGAACATACGATATACATGTAAAGTCTTTTTAGCTCAGTTAGCCAAGCCATGCAATAATCACATGAGAGACAAGTTTTAGATTTCTGTCAGAATGCTCAACAGAAATATTTTTTGACCAATTCTTCCACATTGTGACAGTAATTATGTTTGATACATTTTCACTGAGATGATCTGTTTTTTTTTCTTTTACAGATTGGTGACATGGACCATTAAATTCAAACAGTTCAACATGTCAAGTCTTTTTTCTAAAGTTGCTTTCTACCCAACCTTGGTTTATAACATCTTTTTATCCAAGGTCACTAGTAGGAATTGGTATGACCGTATTGATGAAACAGTTCTACTAGGTGCTCTACCACTCAGAGGAATCACCAAACAGGTACAAACTTCTTCCACTGAACATTATTTTCAACAGGGCATGCAAATTATATCATACCTTTTATAGGTACCCAATTAATATATTACACAGCACGTTGTCAGGCCTGACCGTAAGACATCTAATATTTAAAAAATGAAGAAAAGAAAAGAAAGAAAAAAAGATTTTTTTTTGCGTTTTAGACAAAATAAGATTTTAAAAGATTTTAAAATCAAAACGTCTTATTCGGGTCTTGTATTAGAGATACAGGTGCCCTATAGTCATGGACCTGGTTGTCTGTCCACAAATGAACGGCTTAGCTGATAACTTTTAAAAGTCAAAAGTCAAGGTCAAATTTTTGTTGATATCATCGATGAGCATTTACTTCTGACATTATTTAAGCAATGTTGGCAAAATGTAGCGATACATCAGTTGATCAAAATTCAAAGTCAATGCATATCAAAATCAGACCATTTCTTGCCAACATGAATTATAGCTTTCTTCATGACAAAAAACATTTTGTTGAATATATACTATAAGAGAATGTTGCTACTTTCCTTCTAATTTTCTGTAAAAACTGAAATTATATTAAAACTTAAATCTTTTAAAGTAATTATGTAGTCAAATTCTGTTACCTATTGTCTCATTTTTTTCTTTGCAATCTTTTCTTTTTCCAGTTGGTGGAGGAAGAGAATGTACGGGGCCTGGTATCTATGACAGAGGATTTTGAGATGAGCCAGTTTGTGAATTCTGAGGAAGTAAGGTTATGTTTTTTCCCCTGTAATTCTGTCATATCAATTATACGACCAAATTGTATTGCACCTAGTTTCCAAATTTGGCTAGGGGTAAATATTTTTCGATGGATTTGATAACATATTAAGGTTTAAATTTTTAATAAATTAAAAAGAAATAAATTTAATAAATTTATGTGGAAGGTTCTGGGCCTGTCTCCTGGTACGGCAGTTGCCAGGTACTGGTTGCAGGTCAGTGGCTTTTCTTTTGAAACTCTAACTTATCTTCACCACCTAAACCTGGCACATCCTTAAATGACCCTGGTTGCTAATAGGACAAAAAACAACAAACAACAAGAAAACACAATAAACAAACATGTTAATCTCAAGTGTGACCAAAAGGTTGGGAGATAGGCTTCAAAATTACTGGCCTATAATAGAAACACTTTTTGGAATTTCAAATCAATTTGTTAGTAGGCCTATTAGTACAAGGTATTTAGCTAAGACTAGTTTATTTAATATAAACATTATTACCACCACACAAATTTGTAGATGGTAACACATTTCCCAGGTTCACATCTGTACTCTCTATTCTAGAATATTGCAAACAAACGGGCCATATATATGGGTGATATAGTACTTTGTGTTCTCTTATGGAAATAAAAAATTGTCAAAAAGGGGAATAACTTCGAGGGAAGTCATCAACATTTAAAGTAAATCGAAAGGCCAAATTACTTTTGCTACAGATCATGTACACCATGTTCCAAAAGAATTGGTCATGTAATGAGCATGATTCTGGACATATTCTCATATCAAGAATTGACAAAAGAGACATTTTTGTCAGGAGAGAATCTTCCGAAAGCGATTATTGTAAATAATGAAAAAAAAAAAGCAAATGATATATGAAATGGAGTGTGGAGACTGACCTATGATTAATACATGCATTACTCTTCAAGAAGAATGGGAAAAATTTAAACTTCATCTGATCATCTAGTGCAATATATGCATGTACCTTGTGGACAATAATGGGGTCTCAATTTATTTTTGTCTTCTTTTTAATCAACACTCTCAGATGGAAAACTAGTGATTACTCTTTCATTGTTGTAACTGTAGCATTGTGTTGTTCAGCCAAGGTAGGAGAGGCTGGGTATTAATATTAGCAGGATAGATATAGCATATATGAATTGAAGTATATTTTGAATAGTTGATTGAAAATAACCTTTTGTCTAAGTAAAAGTTGATTGAACATCATGATAATTTTAGGGGCTACAGGAAATATCAACAGTAGTATTCAGGTGGTTTTAAAATCTAGTTGCAAAGTTGGACTCTGACAACATCATAATTTTACTATACATCTATTGTGTTTAAGTCAATTATTGATATTTAGAATTATTTTCTGGATTGATTTATCAAAGGCAAATTAAAAGTAAAATGACATTCGTCTTTTCAGGAGTGGTTAAATGTGGGCATTAAACAACTTCGACTACAGACAGTTGATTATGTGGGAACTCCTTCACAGGAAAACATTCACCGAGCTGTCAACTTTATCCTACAGCACAGAGAGCGTCGAGAGAGTGTTTATGTCCATTGTAAGGCAGGCCGCACCAGGAGTGCTACAATAGTTGCCTGTTATCTCATCAAGGTTGGTGGGAGTTATCTTCCCTTATATATGATTACATTTGTGTATGATTTGTAAACCTGGTGAATACTAGCCAGCAATATACTGCTCAGCTAGAGAGAATTTCTCTTTAGCTTGATCGGTTGAGCATCAGACTAGTAAGCCAAGGGTCCCGAGTTCGAATCTTAGCGAAGACATTGAAATAAATACTGACATCTGTTACAGATGGGTAAATTGCAGTAAGTTATATACAACATTATTTTTATATTATCTCATTTCCAGACTTTGATAAAGATGTTTTGTATGCTCGTTTGGCTTACTGTAGGTGATAGATCAGACTTAGCGATCTCAGTTGAGGATTCAAGGTGTGTGATTTACTACCCGTAGTTTAATCTACCTACATGGAAATGTTTATGTTTCTCCAGGAAGCTGATATCACAAACTTTCCCGTGCTGAAGTAGTGACATTACACATACCACAAAATAAACTGATTATTTTACCAGGACAATTTTCTTTATGAAATTTTACCTTAACATAAACTAGTTATTGAATGAAATTAGTATTACATTGTCTGGTGCATAACTGTTTATAATGTTATTTTTGTGGCACTTAGATACATTGTGTAATCTAATGTTGAAGTTGAGAGTACAGATCACCTTAATAGCCTGGCAAGTGAAATTTCCCTTTAGTCAAGTGATAGAGTATCCAGCTAGATATCGAAAAGTGGCTAGTTTGATCCCCAGCAGTGTTTGAATTATTCAGCTTTGTCCAAATTTGATCTGAAGCAACCTTGGGTGAAAAGAACTTAGTTTTGTATAAATGATGTATCTAACCCCTTTGGGGAGAAGGATGGAGCCTGATAAATATCAGATGCACATTTTTCCATTGGTTAAGATAATAAATGAATAATTAGAAATCTGTATAATAAACCAAGTGAGTGATAAGGCCATATGGGCCTTTTATTTTATAAGTATCAGCTTTGAGAGAGATGACTTTGTATAAGTTAAGATAATAAATCTTTCTTTTTTCACTTTTTCAAACCATGAAATACTTTGTCAGTAGGTCAACAAGAGGGAGAGGGTATTGACATCACATCTTTTCCTTATACTCTGATTATCTTTTCAAACAAGAAAATCTTCGCGAACAATGTAAAGTATTTCTACATTCTTTGTGTCATTGTCAAATAGAGGTTTTGTCTTTTCTCAATTTTCTTGTAATTTTGTTAACAGATAAATGGATGGACACCAGAAGAAGCTGTAGAATTCATAAAAACGAAGCGGAGTCATATATGGTTACGGGATAAACAGCTGAAATCAATTGACGATTATTACTCGAACTGGAAAGATTTCAAACCAGTAGATGGAGCCTGAAAATCAATCAACAGTGTTTGTTATGTTCTAGTGAATATGCTTAGATTTGCTGGCAATTAAACAAAGCTTTTATTTTATTCATCCATGTCACTGTGAAGATGGGTTGAATTGAGTTATGAATACATTGACATCCAAAGTATTGGTATCTATGTTGGACCTGTGATGACCTGCCATATACAGCATGTGTTCATGTTTGGGCTGGTCCCGTCCCTTAGGAGGGTCAATTCATGTTCAAAACATGAGTAAAGATACAAACCTTTACCAAAGTATGATACTCACTGGAAGGTGAATCATTGAGAATTGCCTATTTACAAGCATTTTATATTCAAAGCATGCTTTAGTGATCTTGTAAGGGTTATCTCCCTTTAAGCTTTGCTACATAAACTATTAAATCTCAATACTTGTATTCCTGTCTTTTGAAGTCTGCATTCTGTTGATTAATAACATCCATTTCAGGTCATCTGAAATCATCACAGGTTCAAATTGGTGTGTGTCTGTGTCTCATTGTCATTCAAAAACAATTCCTGTTTTTCTTTTTTCAATGATAATTACAGAATTGATCTTTTAGTATTGCTAACTCAACTGATTTCATCAAGTCACCTGATATTGGCCAAATCATGACCTGATCGATTCCCGAAGAAAACTATAACCACAAGATACTCCTTTATTTTGATCAATGTTTTGAAAATTTCTAAATAAATATTCAGATAAAATAAATCTCTAAAATGTTCATACATAACATAGAACATCATCTAAATACATACAGGTGTGATAACTATACAATACATACAGATGTGATAACTATACAATACATACAGATGTGATAACTATACAATACATACAGAAGTGATAACTATACAATACATACAGATGTGATAACTATACAATACATACCGATGTGATAACTATACAATACATACAGGTGTGATAACTATACAATACATACAGATGTGATAACTATACAATACATACCGATGTGATAACTATACAATACAATACATACAGATGTGATAACTATACAATACATACAGATGTGATAACTATACAATACAATACATACAGATGTGATAACTATACAATACATACAGATGAGATAACTATACAATACATACAGATGTGATAACTATACAATACATACAGATGTGATAACTATACAATACATACCGATGTGATAACTATACAATACAATACATACAGATGTGATAACTATACAATACATACAGATGTGATAACTATACAATACATACCGATGTGATAACTATACAATACAATACATACAGATGTGATAACTATACAATACATACAGATGTGATAACTATACAATACATACAGATGTGATAATTATACAATACATACAGATGTGATAACTATACAATACAATACATACAGATGTGATAACTATACAATACATACAGATGTGATAACTATACAATACAATACATACAGATGTGATAACTATACAATACATACAGATAAGATAACTATACAATACATACAGATGTGATAACTATACAATACATACAGATGTGATAACTATACAATACATACAATGTGATAACAATACATACAGATGTGATAACTATACAATACATACAGATGTGATAACTATACAATACATACCGATGTGATAACTATACAATACAATACATACAGATGTGATAACTAGACAATACATACAGATGTGATAACTATACAATACATACAGATGTGATAATTATACAATACATACAGATGTGATAATTATACAATACATGCAGATGTGATAACTATACAATACATACAGATGTGATAACTATATAATACATACAGATGTGATAACTATACAATACATACAGATGTGATAACTATACAATACAATACATACAGATGTGATAACTATACAATACATACAGATGTGATAACTATACAATACATACCGATGTGATAACTATACAATACAATACATACAGATGTGATAACTATACAATACATACAGATGTGATAACTATACAATACAATACAAACAGATGTGATAACTATACAATACATACATAATATAGAACATCATCTAAATACATACAGATGTGATAACTATACAATACATACAGATGTGATAATTATACAATACATACAGATGTGATAACTATACAATACATACAGGTGTGATAACTATACAATAAATACAGAAGTGATAACTATACAATACAAACAGATGTGATAACTATACAATCCATACAGATGTGATAACTATACAGTACAAACAGATGTGATAACTATACAATACAAACATAACATTGAACATCATCTAAATACGTACAGATGTGATAACTATACAATACATACAGATGTGATTACTATACAATACGTACAGATGTGATATCTATACAATACATACAGATGTGATAACTATACAATACATACAGATGTGATAACTATACAATACATACAGATGTGATAACTGTACAATACATACAGATGTGATTACTATACAATACGTACAGATGTGATATCTATACAATACATACAGATGTGATATCTATACAATACATACAGATGTGATAACTATACAATACATACAGATGTGATTACTATACAACACATACAGATGTGATTACTATACAATACATACAGATGTGATAACTATACAATACATACAGATGTGATAACTGTACAATACATACAGATGTGATAACTGTACAATAAATACAGATGTGATAACTATACAATAAATACAGATGTGATAACTATACAATACATACAATATAACTATACAATACAAACAGATACATACAATACATACAGATGTGATAACTATACAATACATACAGATGAGATAACTATACAATACAAACAGATGTGATAATTATACAATACATACAGATGTGATAACTATACAATAAATACAGATGTGATAACTATACAATACAAACAGATGTGATAACTATACAATACAATACATACAGATGTGATAACTATACAATACATACAGATGTGATAACTATACAATACATACAGATGTGATAACTATACAATACATACAGATGTGATAACTATACAATACATACAGATGTGATAATTATACAATACATACAGATGTGATTACTATACAATACGTACAGATGTGATATCTATACAATAATTGCTAATACATTGCAGCGTTGTGAACAAAATGTGACTTTTCCGGATATTCTCCGGACGTACTAAGTCCATTTGGAAAGGTGGATATCAGTCGTGTTTGCCATTAGAATTGTCATTGTCAATATTACAGATATGCTTTATTTCATTTATCGTTACACTGATATCATCGTTGTCTATATCAACATCAAACGTTTATGTCAATATGTTCCTGTCATCTTTATTGTTATCGAAATTCCATCAAATCATTTTATATTTCCAAATACATCATCTGATAACGAGACGATTGCTTGATACAAGCAGGATTTTTTTAATACGAAAATGACAAATTCATGAATTACTGCCAAAAAAGCTAGTTTACTGTGAAAGATAACGTTCGTTTTTACTTCAAAAAAAAAAAAAAAAAAAAAGAATCGATTGGTTTAGTGTATATAATAATATACAAACAGTTTGTGAACCAATACTCAACCCACTCATATCAAAACATCTTTACGAAAGCAGTATTGTGATTTCTGGATTTATCTCCCTTGACGTAAAAAGTTGTCCGTTTGAGGGCAGCAGTCTTTAAAATTAGATTGGGTTTTTTCCTGTCTTAGTTAAAACACTTCTCTGCTAGGCTGTGCTCATTGAAACTAACACAAAACAGGGTCGCCATTTCGGTCTAAACTTTTCTATAGTTGGTATAACCACATTGTATGCAAAACATACTTGCGTTTATCTGCGTTTATGATTATATTCAAGAACACTAGACATTCTGTTTACAGATACGGAAACTCATACAATGCCAGGTGAAGTGCCAAAAGGATGATGTAATATATGGCATGAAATATGGTTCATTATCATGAAATCAAAATAACTTTGTAACATCGACTGTACAACATAAATACGAGGGCTGATTGATAAGTTGTGAGCATCATATTGAAGGCTTTGATTTGTTTTTAACATAATCCCCTTCTGTACATATACACTTTTGCAAACAATGTTTAAGGGACTCAATGTCAATTTTAAAGAAGTAATTTTCTTGGCCGTTCAGAAAGTCCTCCATTGCATGTATTACATGATCATTTGACCGAAAGTGGACACCGGGAATGACCTCAATAAAACTCACTTGTGTCGAACACTCTTGAATCTAATACATCGGATAAGTCGAATGTACTGCGTTTGTGTCCAATATATCTTGTTATCCATCCCTTCAACCAAAATTTTGTCCTAGTGTCGAACATTCAGACGTCACCTTGTCTCGGGTACTAAAAAATTATTGGCTTCGGTCTGTACAACTGAGTTTGATCAGTCAGCCGTATTTGTGTTAACGAGCACTCTTGGTTAAATAACGTACGCACAATAGAAACCGGTATAAATTTTCTCTGGGATTATACTAAAACACGTACATTAAAGTGAAATTATAAAGAATTTGTTGAAAAGCAACGATTACAAGATCAGTTTATTAAAAAAATGGTTTAATGTTTAAAATACTCTCGTGGAAGTATATATTCTATAATGAAATATTTCGAGATTGAAAAATACTTTTCGAAACTAAAACCAAAACAAGGCAGATAATTGATAAATTGACGTCAAATGCAAAACTACCCGTGGAAACTGGAAGATTGATATAAATACCTAAGGAAAGCAGAACTTGTACTCTATGTTGTAGTAACAATATTGGTGATGAATTTCATTATCTATTTGAATGTGAATTTATTCCAAATTATTATTGTGTGAATCCTAGTCTAAGTAAAATACATTAATTATTATCAATTTGTTATGTCAAAGTTTTATCTAATATAAGAAAATTTATTGAAAAAACTTGACAAATATCTAGATACACGTATTTAATTGTTTCATGATACTTTTCCGCCGTGTGAAGAATTACTCTTAATGTTGACCTCTTGTAACATACTATGTATGTCTGAGTGAAAAATACAATCTGAAATCTGTAATTTTCGATCGAACATTAATCCCTGTGTTTACACTGGTGCACAAGTAAAAGTTATGATTTATACAGAATTAGGCCACCAAACTTAGAAAGAAATTCACTATTATATTAACCGTAAGTTTACTGTGTTTTGTTTACATTTTAAGCGCATGGCTGCCGAAAACCAACGGGAAAAAAGCGATAACTACCTCGCCGACGCAGATTAAAAAAATAATAGTTTGTCATTGACACATTTTTTCATGATTTGAAATATCAATGTAGAATGTTAATGAGTACGTATTAAGTGAGTTTTATTTTAAAGTATTGTTGACGGGACTTGTTACTCTTAGGGTATAAATGTAAGTACAATATTTGTATTACTTTAGGTATAAATT